GGTGATGCCGTCCTCGACCGTGACATGGGTACTGGACCGATCCGTGGCTGCATACCCCTGCGGCTCAGGATGCTGTGTTCCCACCGCGGTGTCCTGGAAGGTCTTGTGCAGCCACTTCCGCATGCCTTGGTCTCGAATCACCTTGTTCAGCTCTGTGTCTCGGCGGCTCTCCACGTAGTGGTTGGCATCCTCAATGGACTCACCGGCCAGCAATGCACGGCAGAGGATGCCTAAGAAAGCACCCCGGTGTCTCCCCTTGATGCAGTGCACCACGACGTTGTCGCCATGCCATACTGTATTCTTGACAGCAGGCCAAACGTCTGTCCACTGCTCGTTGCGTTCCTGGCTGTATGCCGCCGCAAAGGTCATCAACTGAGCTCCCGGGAGGGTCACCCCCCCCCGGCTCTCAGGACCATGCGGGAAACAGCAGATCTGCAACGCCGTCTTGGGGAACTTGTCCACAGTCTGCCTCATCGGAAGTCCTGCCAGGTAGATGCCACCACCCTTTCGGGACGTCCAGATGCAAGTAGGGGCCTGGGCAGTCCCTGAGCCCACACCCAACGCTCCAAGTGTAGGTCCAAGGTGTCTCCGGCTGCTTTCCCACGGCCTTTCTTTGGCATGGCCTTGGTCTGCGGCTTCCCAGGAGCTGCCAGGCGCTTCGGCGTTGTGGCGGCAGCCATGGACTTTGCAGCTGTGGCCAGCGGCTTAGGGGTGGTGGCTTTGGCCTTCGGAGGCGTCTTGGGGGCTGCAATGGCTGGTGCCTTTGGCGGAGTCTTGGGTGCAGCTTGGCCTCGGGCTTTCTTGACAGCTGTGCGCATCACATCTGCAATCTCATCGTCTGTGGCACCGCTCGCCGCGGTCCTCTTCCGGCCGAACGTGGCCTTCTCCCCCACGGCTGCCGGCACCAAGGTGGCCGATGGCTTGGGCGCCGCTGGCACTGCCGTTGCTGCCATCACTGCTCGCTTGATGTTGCAGATGCCTGCACCGTGCTTGCCACCACATGCCCGTCCTGACTTCTGTAAGATGGCACACAAGTGCACTCCGAATGGACAAGAGTCTGCCGGGTTCGGGCACTCATCCGTCTGGAAGTCCGGGCATATAGCCTTGCCATTCTTCAATGTGGCTGTCAGCACCTTGCCCTTGAGTTGGTCAGGCATCTGAGGTGCCGGTGCTGCCTCGGCCTCCTGTCGGGCTTGCTGCGCCGCTTCAACAAACTGTTGTGACAGCTTGAGCCTTTTCTTCACATCCTGAAAGCTGTGTGCGGAGGCCCACATAGGTTGACGGTCTTGTCGCAGCAATCTGTCGGCCTCCGTCAAGCCGTGAGCACGGGCTGCATCTAGCTCTGCCTGCGGGATCGCCTCCCACAGCAGGTTGCTAGTCAGCTTAGCTGTAGCACCCCAGATCAGCGATTTCACCTTAATCGACGCGGCGTATTTGGCCGACGAATAGTGAAATGCCATTGCCCCCACCTCTGGTTGCTCGCTCTTGGCTTGCCAGTCGCCCAGGGCTGCCATTTCTTCAGGCCTGCAGTCTAACAACTGGGCCACCGTTGGTGCAAGCCTCCTCCAGCTGTAGGTGGTCAGGTCTTCTGGATTATCGAGGAACACGGACATTTCCTGCTGCATTGTTTCTTGCACTTCAAGGATCGTCCAAGGGCGCCCTTCGTCCGAAAAACAAAGGCCTGCAAGTCTCTGCCTCGCTGGTGCCAGCGTCCTGTATGCCTCCAGCACTTCCTTGGCCCAAAAGAAGCCGTTGGCAAAGGTGGCCGGCACAGCAAAGTCGAATCCTTCACGAGCATGCTTTTGTTTTCCTTTGGGGCACCTGCAATGGAGGAATGCAGCCGTGAGACGTCGAGGTTCTGACCGCGCAATGTGCGCATACCTCAAACAGCCAAACGACATGATCCAAGGGGCCAGGAGAACTGACCACCTCTCGTCGCCGACCGCGTGCAACTCCATGATGCGGTCCTCCAAGGCTTGCACTAGCGGCGGTTCCACCACCGGTGCTTGCCCACGCTGCCCAGTCGCCCTGGGTGTTGTGGGCACTTGCAAGTTTCCCAGCTCTAGATCTTGGTCGGCATTCTTGTTCATCCACTTCAAGGCTTGGAGTGCTCGTGCTGGGGCCGATGTATGGTTCAGGAACTGATCCAGGTCGACCATTCCAGGAGGAGCGGGTCGCCCCCGACTCTCCAAGAAGGCCCTCAGCTCCAACCATGTGTTGACCACTCGGTCAATGGTCGCCTTCTCTGCGTCCTTCACCTTCTTCTCGGCGATCCTCTTGCACGTTTGTTTCCATTCGGCCTTGAGGGTGTCTGTCAAGATGCCAGCTGGTTTGTATGCACCCATGCCGACAAACATCGACACTAAACCGTTCACTCTCTTCTGGACGGCTTCATCCAGGTTCTTGTCGACGTTGACGGCCTTGGGTTTCTTCTTGTAAATCGTCTTGCGCACAGGGCGCAGAGTGACGGAACCCTTGGGGTTGTCCTCCACGACTTTGGCCCCCGCTGCAAGGAGATGTTCTTCCACCCTTGCTCGCGTCTGCAGCCAGTCATCCGCTACGTGATGGCCGGCCAGTCCAACGACTTGATCGTAGTCTGTGTAGGCATAGGCAAAGTCGTTGTCGTCCAGGAGGCCTTCATTCTCCCTCCATTGACGCGCACGTTGTGCAGCTATCATCATCAAAGAGTCGGCTGCCCTCCATCCTGGTGCAGGGTCACCCCCTGACGAAGATGAGGCTGCCGCCTGAGCTGCGTAGTAGCCTTTGCCGCCTGATGCCATGGCACTGCACCCTAATAGAATTGCTAAGGTGCGGAGAGCAAAAAGATGCTGCGGTGACTTCAGAGGTGCCTCCTCTGTCATAAAATCAACCTGCAGCAAACATCTTCTTACGTCCTCCACAAGTGCTGCATGGCTCTCGCCAGGTAAAGCAGGCACTACACATCCCGACGCAGCATGCCCAGCACACGCGCCTTGTAGGGTCCCCGCACTCTGTGCAGGCCGTGCCCAGTTGCAGCACGCCTGCATCCTGGCATTCCAGCCATCCACATAGTGCTCGATGTGCCCTGGCGCCTTCTCTCCCCCATGCTGGCCAGGGTCGCCCCCTGGGTGCTCTGGGAAAGTGGCGCGGCTCGAGGAAGGTCGGCAGGAGCTCGTGAGGGCCCGTGCATCTGAGCCAACTCCTCCATTGATCGAACAGCTCTCCCAGGCCCAGTTGCCCAGCGTCACCCGCTGTGCACCTGAGCTGCAATCCGTAGAGATCTTGGGGCACGATGTCGGCAGCCACCTTGAGCTTCGTGTAGGCGGCAACCAGCAGAAGGTCCATGGGGTCCTGGTGCTGGTAGTAGTACGCCCAAGCATCCGCAGGCGCCACATCGTCTGGCAGCACAACTCCGCGGCTATTCCACAGGCCGAGCCACGGGAACTTGAACCCCCCAACATGAGCTGCGCAACGCTGGCAGTCATCAAGGCAACAGGGCAGCTTCGGCAGGGGGGGGAAAAGCTCTGAGTCCGTCCCAGTAGTGATGACGTAGGGGGAGTGCAACACTTCAATCCCGTGCATCCAGCATGTGTATGCTGCCAGATCAGAGCCCTCCCGTGCCAGCCTTTCCACGTGGCCCTTGAACTCCAAGAAAGCCGCCGCATGGAGGATCTTCGCCTCGGTGGCTGCCGGGATATCGATCCCTGGGAGTTTGCGCTGCATACAAGGTCACCCCTTGTGTAGAATCTGAACCAATCAATCAAGGTCAGGGAAGGTCACCCCTTACCAAGACCAAGAAAGAAACAGCAATGAATGCTATTTTGGTTCGAGTTTACTTGAGCCAAAATGATAGCATTCATTGAGGCACTTCAAGATGATACATGCACACCCAAGCCTGCCAAACTCAATGCATGGGTATATATGTACAGATATATGTATATATCTCTCAACTTATTTCAGACCATTCCAGCGTCAAGTTGGCTTTCTGCCAAGAACAATCCAGTTGCTCCAAACAATCAAACGGATCGCAGGTCGCTGACCCCTCCGCCTCTTCAAGACCTTCTTTGGCAAGGCCTTCAACTGTCGCATGTACTCGACGTCATCTGGATGTTCACCCCAATCTGCCACCTGTGCCTTGGTCATCATGGCTATAACGGAGGTGTTTACATAGGATGGCTTGGGAAAATCATCGAAGTCTATAAACAGTGGATGTTTCCCAGCCAGCCAGATCATTCCAACTGGGCAGCCTGGGGGGCCCAACCACACAGGGTCCTGGATCTGGGCGCCACATTGCTTCACTGCGGCACTTTTGGCAATGATCGTGGCACCAAGAGAGGCTGCGGTGAAAAAGAAACTTGGAAAGCTAAGCATGCCTACGTCCAACCTCAGACCTATCCAAAGAATGACAAAATGTTGGAACAAAATGGAATAAATATCTAACCACCGTACTCGGGAACAATTGGTTTGGACGGCCATCAAGGGATCCTGAGCAAAAACCAGTCCTAACAGTATGGAGATTGCGATTTTCGCGATTCAGTTCCCCTTCACTGTATCTCACACGGTTTCGGAAAACAAACCTCAAAGCTATCCGACCATTCCGACCTATCCCAAGACTCAAACAACGAAGAGTTCTATCAGCGACCACTCTGACCATGGGATCCTGGGATCATGGGATCCATCAATGACGGCCATGAAGAGGTAGGCCAGGTAGGCAGAAACCAACCCTTAGACAGATTTAGACACTGATATTGCGAAGAGCGATTCCTCACACGGAGGGAAAACAAACCAAATGGATATCATATGGATCTATGTGGCTGCTCCAGGATTGCTGTTTTAGTCAGTCCGTTCTCTGCTCGGAAGTAAAGAACAGCCGGCCGTGCAAGGGAGTCTCCTTTTTTCACCACGTGGTCAGCTGAAACGTCAATCTCAGCCAATAAGCTTAAACAATTCAGAAATCATCTTGAGCGATGTTTCTTTCATGCATGTGCAGCAAAATCAACGCCAAAAGTAATTTCTTGTCTGTTGTGGGCTGTGAAAGTAGCTTGTGTTGTTCCAAGAGCCCTTTCAACGTGAAGTTCAAAACCAGTTGGTCAGTCCCAACGCGAACGGCGCAAAGGGCACAGTACCGTGTCATCACCATCACTTCATCGTCGCACCGGCTCCTGACGCAGTTGACGGGATAGATTGCCATGACAATTATGCTACTGTTTACTATCTAAACCATTGCTGCTTTGCAATTAAGCAAGTCTACGACAATGAAAACCCTTGAAGCATTTCATCACACCTGTCTTGGCCTGTGACAAGCACCCAGCCCTCTGCCCCGCTCCCGGATGTTGAAACCCATGTTGCCTCCTGCGTCAGGGTACCACAGAAAGGACGAGCCAACTGCAGAGATCCAACCCTGAATAGGACGAGCCAATCTTGGAAGAACAAACCGGATACAGCAAAGGCAGCCGCAGATTCTGGATGTCCACTCTTCTCTCCTGAATATTCAACATGTTCCACATCTTCATGTTCGTCTGTCAGCTCATCGCTTAAATCAGTGAGCTGAAAAAAAATGGCGCGTTTATGACGCCGAAACCACAAACTGATCGCCTCCTGCTGCGCGCTGTGGTGGTGGGCTGGCAACGCCACCTCGCGGAGCTGTCGATTGCAGCTGGATCAATGCCACGATAAGCGTGCGCACTGTAAGTATCACGGAACACAAGATATCATAAGCTATCAGTGTTATCAGTGTCTCAGACCAGGCTCAAAAGTGATTGGCATTCTAGTGATCAGCTGACTTTTGTTCAAGTGGTAGTGGTAATTAATTAGTTGTGCTCCTGATGCTCTTGAACATAGAAACTACTATGGCATACACACCTGGAGGCTGGTCACCCCAACCTCCAAGACCACCAAGACCAGCAAGGCCACCAATACCACCAAGGCCGCCACCAGCACCTCTCGACTCCAGGGACTCCACGGCAACTCGCTGCAACCCCAAGCTCCCACCGCACCGCGCCTGAAAGGATGCTGGCCAAGTTGCCACCAAGACCCCCAAGGCCATCGAGCGCCTCCTTCGCAGCTACAAAAAGTCAGAAGAAAATCTACAACCGGCTATGGCCTCTTGCATGACAGGTTGATGTTTGAGGACATCACATTCTTCAAGTTGTTTTCCCAGACTGGAAGAAATTGTTCAATGTTAAATGTGTGAAATCAGGGCGAATCACCAGCCTCACCCCTGATGGTGGGCTCAGACACCTTTCCACTGATGTACCTGTCATGGCTACCCATCAAATATGGTGAGAAAGCAACTTGGTCACCATCCGCCTATTTCTGCGCAGTTTCCTGATTGCTTCGAGCATCCTTATAGTTGACAATTCCGCACGTCACGTGACTCAAATCCTTCCTGCAACCAAGCAGGCACGGAGTTTCACAGCAATCTACGAGAACATCCAGTGGTAGGGGGCTGTCCTTCACACCCTGAGATCCTTGGAAGACTCTACAATGTTCTTCAAAGAGCTGGGGCACTTATTGTCCATCCACTCCAGCACCTTCCGGTAATTGTCCACCTGCAATTTCGAAATGTAGACACATACCCTCTGGTAAACTAACATAGCTATGGAAAATCACCATTTTCAATGGGAAAGTCCACTATAAATGGTCATTTTCAATAGCTATGTTAAATTACCAGAGGGTAGTTAAAAAGCGGGAGAAAGCATTGAAATGAAGGCTACGTGAACTGAGCAAAAAGTATGCTGTGAAACTCGATCAATGGAGCCATCAACAGAGGCATGGGTGGCTGCCGTCATGCAAGCTATGTCTCAAAAATGGGCTACCAATAGTTCTTTGATTGGACCAAAATCCTATCCGAGTCTATAGCTTCGTAAGCTAGAGTACCCAAAAAAAAAAATCCACTGGTATCATAAGTTCGTCAAAATTGGTACCCCAAAATCCTATGACTATTTGATGGTTCATGGAAATCTTGATCATTAAACCTGCCGTTTTATCCTGCAGTTTATCTTAACATATGGAAAACCTATCTTTGGACACTAACCATGGTCTGAAAAGGGGATTCCATATCTCAACCCATGTTCAACCCATGTTCAACCCCAAACCATTTGGACTCAAATCTTTAATTTCTCTTCATTTTCAGTATACCTATCCAAAAACCTCACAGATTTCTCAAAATCTTGTTCTACCTAAAAATCAGAGTTCAAGGGATTTCCTACGACTTTCCCAGTTCCATATCTTCCATGGATCCCATCATTTTGGACACCTTGAAAGGAACCGCGACCTCGTTGAGGTGCTTCTGGGCAAAGTCTCGCGCGCGGCCGGTGAAGCCGCCAGCCTGGAAGAGGGCGGCCGATGATCGTAACATGGATATTCTGTATAAATAGATATCATTAGATAGAATATATATATATATATGGGTACAACGTATGTATATCATGTATCTATATACATCTATGAATTATCTAGATATATAGATGTACAATGATGTACATACGATACCTTATAGTTCACTAGGAAAAAATATGAAATCTAAGCATCAAAAACAAAAGATTGACCATCAACACTTGGGATGTGTCGTTTGATATTGGGCTTGAAGTTTGAACCATCCAAGATGGGGAACTAAGCAGCCAACGAGTCACGGCTGCTAGGCACGTCTGAAATGGGGTATACCGATATACCGTAGAAAAACTCCCAAGAAAATTAAAAACATTCCAAGATGATGATGAACCAATGCATTTGGGGGTAGCCTCTTTTTTCACAAGCCCATATATCGTCCCAAAATCTCTCAAAAGTAATCATCTTGCCATATCTTGCCCCTTTCAACGGAAGGCGAGGCTTGTTTCGGAGCCAAAAAGTCAGTGATGGATCCTACACCCTGAAACGGTTTCAACTACAGTACTGTACTCCGGATGTTTAGAGTTCAATTGGAATGGGCTTCGAAAAGCCTACAAGCAAATGTGCTGCTTCTTTTTTAGCAAAACCCTTCTCCCATGCATTGCAAGATCATCGCCATTGCGACTCCCCCGAAATCAATTGGGTGCCGTAAAAGCCGGTGCCAGGAAAAAAAAAATCAGGCATGCCAATGATGGTGATATGGCAGTGTGTCAAAACCTTGTACCCCTGTAGTTCACATCAACATAGCTGGTAAATGGATGTTCATCCCCCTAAAAATTGTATTTTCATAGGTATTGATCCATACCCATATGCCACCAGTCAACCCCCACCTCACTGAGATCCACGAAGTCGGCTAACCTGAGTCAATGTACCCGCTATCTTTTGGAGCAGCGCACGGCAGCCTGGGTTCACCCCGCCGTTCCGCCACCATGCCGGGATCTCCATCAGTCACATGTCCTCCGGTCTAACACCCTGGCAGTGGTGCATCCCAAAATTCAATCGAGTAAGCTCCTTTGGGAATCTTTAGGATGTTTATACCTGTTTACTTTTGCACTGTTACTTGAGTTTGCAATGCTCATTTGCTCAAATTTCATGTGCCAACAAAGATCAGCTTTCAAGTGCTCAAATTTCAGCTCGTTGATTCTGTTCCAATACTGACAGCTTGGTTCCCTTCATAACGGCTGTCCTAGGTGTTGCACAGCTGCTGGCAGCCGTGCACTCTCTGTGGCAAAGAAAGGGGTGTCAGTCAGGAGTCCCTGGCCAAGACGAGCCAAGACCCCAACATCCAACAAAATTCCAGCAATGGAAACCAAAAAGACTAGGGGAAACCACAGTTTTGGTTTCATCATTTCATCACCAAATATTTTTATGCCAACAAGTTAAAAAGCTCCTCAAAATACACCGAAAAGTATCAGCCTCGTAGACGACCCGAGGATTGCAGTCGATGACAGGGTGTAGCACCTTGGCCGCGTGGCATGTCCTGCTAGGATTCCAATGTCTCCAATGTCAAAATGTGGCAGGGGTCAAGTCGAATACCCTCTGGGAGGGTAAGTTGGCAATGGAAAATTGCCCATTGATACTTCATTTGCCTCTTGAAAATGCAAAAAAATGATGGCTTATCAGAGTTTATCATCATTCCCTGCAACAATAAAAATTGCTGAGTATTCTCCATTTTCAGACACACTCACACTTTCCAAATGGCATCAGGCACCACTTTGTGCTCCGTGAGTGTCCGACCACTCCCAAAGATGCTGTGAAGAGCTGTGCCAACTCCTCGTCCTCCACGATCACAAGCAAAAAAATATTGCTTTGCCAATGAGCAACATCTCTTCATCATTAAAACATATAGAGTGTGTGAAAAAGGAATAAATATCAATAACCAATATTTTTGTAAATTCATCACGAAATCACAAAACAAAAAAAAACGATATTTGACTTATTGTATACCGGGAGAACTATTCCATCGTGCATACATAGTTGAGGGTACGCATGCATAAGCATAAATCACAAGTCGTAACTTATAACCATTTATGATTAAGCTACCAGTGTCGATATGGATCAAACAACACTATCTCTACCAAAGTTCTGACTCTCAAGTGACTTAGAAGTTTTCTCCTCGCAACATCTTCTCCCCAGTTACCAGAGAATGTCCTAATTTTCGGTCCTTGAGCTGATCCGCTACGACGACGTTCAGCAGCTTTTCCGCATTGATCTTCTGTGTCATGGCCACGACCTGATGGTTCTGGGGCACTTCACCCCAGTGGTTTTTCAGCTGGTACCCTCCGTTTGCGCAAAAGTGCCTGGCTGGAAATCCCCTACACATGGAGGTTTGCTGGGAAAATCATTTAGAGATCGGGTCGTCGTTGTGCTTTTGGTAGCTATGGACATCCCTCAAGGAAATGGTTTGGTCTTCCCGAGATAGCAAGGGCCTACGGCCGAAGCCACTGGCTTCGATTACGCTCCGGTGCCATCAAACATGGCTAGCTGCGAAATCCGCCAACTAAATGCAGGTTTATAGTCTGGGAAGATAATTTTAGTTCGGAATGTTATTCCAAATACACGAAACCCAAAAACCCAAACCCACTGATCAAAGGAATTATCAATCACTACAAACCATTCTGAACCACATTGAACCACTATTAACCAGAATTAAACAGGGTAAACCGCCATGTCCCTGCTGTCCACCCTGCCCCACGGCCACCTCGGCACAGTAGGTCTGGTTGCCATCGCAGCCACCAGCCACCACCAGGGTAAGGCCGCGCCTTGCAGAGTGAGGATCCCTTTCTGTTGACTATTACCTGCCGTTCCAGAACTACGTAGTTAGAATTACATACTGATGATAGTGGCCAGTTATTACATGTTAACGATTTATCTCATCTATATATATATATATTTTTTTTCTTATTTACATATTTTCTTGTTTGTTCATTTATCTATGTATTCATGTTTACATATTTATTATCTAAATATATACATATATACATACACATGTGATTATACATGTATAAATACAAATGATATATTGATGGTTGCTAATATTCCCAAGAGCTTTTCTTGAAAGAAATGTCACAGCAGCCCACAAGCCAACAGTCCATGCCCAGAATGCTCAGCACGCAGCAATCTTTGCACAGCAGAAGGACGTCGTGCCTAAGTTCACAGCAGCATTTGGTTGCTCCCCCAGCTCTTTCCACTTGGGAACTGCAGAGGACTGGGCACCCAACCCCTTCAAAGACTAAACCGGCCAAGAAGTCCAATTGGCCCTTGATGGGCCTCATCCCCGCTGCTACAACACTGCTTGTCGATTTGCATCTCCTGTAGACATTAAGTCATTCAGTGATGGTTACCCTCTGGTAAACTAACATAGCTATTGAAAATGGCAATTTATAGTGAGTTTTCCCATAGTTTCTTGTATGTTTACCAGGCCGGGTACATTCATTCAACCGGTTCGTCTGTGAACAAGTTTGGACATGGCTCCAACTGCTCCATGTAGTGAGGAACCTGGAAGTCAAGGTCCGCACCGAATGTCCGCCGGTAGAAGCAGCAGTCTGTCCTACAGGCTGCCAGCACTACTCACTTTTGGTTTTCTTCCAACCTTAAAAATTTGTGAAATCACTCCCAGCCTCAGGACCCAAAGCTTAACAAAGATTCAATCGTCTTTTCATTGCAGGCCGCAACACCAACGTCAGCATAGCAACTTCAGAATTAGCTTAGCCCAAGGGTCACGAGCCACTGACCTCCATGCTCAGCCCCAACTGTCCTTGGGCCTTTGTAGCCGAGCTTGCCGCATTGCAACAGCCTGGTTTGCCACAGGTCTTTCACGAAGAGATCGATTCCCAGCTCCAGTGGGATGGTGTCCAAATCATCTGGTGTTCTTGGCCACTTCCCCCATCACATGAGCTTCAGATTCACGATCCCATTCTCCAAAAAAACAACATAACAAGGCCGAAAAGGCATGGCCGGCATGGCATCATTGACCCACTTTTTGATTCAATTTTTTCACATCCCACGTCCTTCCCTTCGCTTCCTCCTCCAGAATCTTTCGGAAGGCCGGGTTCGGAGGCTTCAGGATCTCGGGACAAGATCCGCAACCAACAGGGTGGGTCTGAAAAAAGGGTGTAGGGTTTTGCCCCCTATTTTAGCCAATTTAATAGGGAAAATAATGATTAACCATGATTAGCCAATATTAGTAATTAATATTAACCATTGGATTTAGGGGCAATCTATTTTCAGACAACCCAACTCATTGGCTGAAGACCTATCCTGGAAGTGTGCTCCCAGTGGTGTCAAAAGGCACCACAAATTTAAGGCTTGGACCGCATCATCCGGGAGCACCGATACACCCAAATCCTGATGTTGCGGGCAGCTCGCATGGGCCAGCCAGTGATTGGATAATTTGGAGATGAAAATTGGATATGATAATCTCATCATGAGCAGTGGACCCAGAACATCTCAATCAAACATTCATCTTAATGTCCAAACCAACTGATCGTTCGACTAATCCGCATACATTTCGAATTCCGTCTGGCACTCCTCAAAGTTGGAGATCTGGTCATCTGAGAGGTCGTACCTGTTAGTCATATATAGACAGCTTTGGAAATGCTGTCAACGTCACTGAAGCTGTTTCTTGAATGCTTCTTTTCTCCATGCCCTGCCAATGTCAGAGTCTGTCAGAGTCCGACAACAACTTTTCTCAACGGCGCACGTGGGATACAGCAGCACCCGCTTAGCGGGCATCACACGCGCAATGGGATGCCTCGGAGGTTTCCACTGAACCAGATGCCGGCGTTGAAACTGCCGGGTTCCCGGACATGAAGGCGTTGATCTCAAAGACAAACATTAAATCAATGGGCTCGGCAAAGAAGTTGGATGACAAACTGGCGTCGATCCAACGTGTTAGATGCCACCAGGTCAATGTGGTAAATATATGCCATTAGCTCACTGTGGTACACCTATGAACAACGGATAAGAAAGACAATGTGGGTGAACGAATGACAGAGAGCCAAAAACACAATGAATACGGGAGGCTGCCTGTGACCTGTGTTGCGAAGACAGCCACTTCGGTCCATCCGAAACAGCCTCAAAGCTGCGAGTCTCAAAAACCATTCGAAAGCAACCGAATTTTCGGATCCCGGATGACTGTCTTCTTCTCATAGCAACCATGGGCGTTCCAAGTGTACGTAACAAACAAACCAGGGCCACGCCAAGCTCCCCCGACAGAACGCTGAGAATCAAACGTCTTCTGTTCATCACGTGCAGCGAGCCACACATCTACACTACTGTTGGTCAAGAACCTGTGAGAATTCCCGGCACATATGGGTGCGCCAGTGGTGGATAGCCATGGATACTGTATTTCAATAGGGAAAATCATGATAAACCATGATAAACCATGATAAACCGTCAGTTTTTGGGGCGTAGCCGATTTTCGGACAAACCCATATATTCCGTGGAAGGATCTTTCATATCCATTCCGGGACTTAGAGCAGCCTGGTCCAGAACGGGAGACACCAAGAGCGCGTTCTGCATGCACAGGGTGAACGCTCCTGCAAGGATGCAATATTTGGGGCATCGAAGAAAAATCAAAAAGAAGCGATCACATGAAATCACCCAGGGAAAATACCTTCAATTACAGAGCGAAGGAGCCTTCCAAGCCCCCAAACCTCACCAGTTGCCTCATCTACTATCAGCTCTGAAACCCTTCCACCCGAGCTTATCCATTCTATCCATTCTATCGCGTCCTGGTGGTAGAAGTGGTAGAAGAGCACAGTTTTGAAGTGCACAGCGACTGTGTCTTTGTGCCTCATCGACAGCTCCATGGCCTCATCGCTATTGATGACCCCCAGCTGTTGCGAGGCCGCAGTGCTTCCATGCACCTTCCAGGACCATCAGAAATTTAGGCACAAAAAAACATCCTGGGGTCCCATCCGTTGGTTTTCCCTACTAAAACTGGTCCCATCCATTGGTTTTCCCTACTCAAACTTGCATGATATGTTCGTTGATTTAGGGCTGTGCAGTTTGTTTCTTTTTCTAATTCTAAACAAAGCAGGGGCCCAGAGAAAACATGAGAAAACCACAAGCAACGATCGGCCTCAACTTCTGCCAGTTTCAATGGCAGCTTGTTCATGACCTGAGTCGAGCTCTGTATGGTCCCATCCACAACATATCAAAGTAAAGAAGGCCCCGGATGGCATGTGCATATATCTATTTACTGCATTGTCTCGTGACGGCAACCATGCTGTGGTTCCATTGAAACTATGGCAGAAACTATATATGTTGATGCTTCTGCCTTTTGCCATTCACCAGGTCAAAACTTATATATATATATCCCAACCAATCTGAGGCGCAGACCTCAGAATTATGGCACATGGTTCGAATGAGCCTCGCTCCAATGCAAATTGTATTGGCTCAATCTTGAGAGTGGCAAAGAGAGTCATGCAATTCTCTGATGCGACCTATCTATCTATCCATCCATTCATCTGTGTATCCACCTATCCAGTTATCTATGTATATTATGTAATATCATCGTTTCTATCTTATATACATATATATATATATATATATTATATTGATACACATAATATGCCAAACGTAAAGGTTGAACCAGCTGCTTCCCAGCCTGTCAGACATCGGCCAACGGCCTGATGCCTCAGCTCAATGCTTCTTGGTCCGAACTATTTGCCTTCGACGTGTCCTTGTGCTTGGCATCGGACCATTCTCATCTGCAGCCCAGGCGTGGAGTAAAGCATGTATGTTGCTCGGTGGAGGAGACGATACTTCCAGTCCCGATCCTATGCCGATCCCATGGCGGAGAATGTGGTGTTTACCCAACAAGAAAACCCCTAAACCCAACTACCATCCCCAACATTACCGAAAAAAAAGGGCAGTACAAACCAAGCCCAAATGGTAGGTTTATTCTTGCATTTACCATGTCAATCATTGTATTGGAATGTACTGCACCAAACGGCCAAGGCTTCAAGGGTTCATTACTTTCGAATCCGGCATAGCTTGGAATCTCAGCAGTCCTGGGCTATGCTCAGGTAGACCAAAGCCGTCACCACTCCAGCAGGGCATTCGTCAAAGATGGCAGGGTTCCTGAAGCAAAGATGCCAGTGCCGGTGGACCCTCAAGAGCGCGAAGCTGTGCCCAATTCCAGAAGATCTGATTTTTTCTGCCCAACACCAGCCTCATCCCAAGATATCCCAAGTTTTAAATGGAGGCTTTGGGGCTCCCAACTCTTCCCAAGCTTCGTGGATTTGGAACGACGCCTCGCAGGACGTTGCATGATGCGAATCCAATGACGAACTGATCACACAAATTGCGGAGAACCAACAGGTGTCTCCCCCAAAAAAATATATCGGATCCCAAAAATCCTCCAAAAATTGGCTTTGAAGGTAGAAAAACCATAGGAAACCGGGGCATGTCACGCCTCTACGGGATCTTGCTCAAGCAAAGCCAACTTCTGCAGGGTGCTGTGCCTCAAAGCAGTGGCATTTCATGGCCCCCTCGTGGCCGAGTGGATGGAAGACCAACATGCGCCAGGGCACAGCTTCGCAAAGAGCGGGTTGGAGGTACAGCCATCAGCAGGTGGAGCTGGACTAGCTGGACCTCTGGTCAAAGGATGTCAAAGGTAAACTTGGCAGTTTTTGGAATCGAACATCCTCTGGTCATCAAAGATCGCAATGGAAAATCCACCCATCGATGATTTTCCCATTGAAATGCCCCCTATACGGAGAGTAGACTTGGAAACCTGAAAAAAAGGCCAAGCAGCTAGCAGCTCGACCTCCAAGACCTCCTGGCATACCACCCAGGGATTGTCTCAATGCCTCGGTTTTGCGTTGGAAAATGTGGTCTAAATTGGTCTGATATCACTTGAAATGGTCAAAAATCACGCTAGAAATCTGCATCATGCTGAAAGCTGAAAGGTCAATCTTTAGAACTACGAACCGGCATGAACAATGCGATGAAGGGTGCAAGGGTAGGCACCCCCCCGACTCAACAACCAAAGCATCATCAAATCCAAGTGTGTCGAGGGGCTTCCAGTTGCTGTGTGGCACTCTGCTGAACATCAGACCTAGGCGGGTTGAGTTCCACGAGAGCCTTCTGTCTGCAGCTAATCCTGGAGTAGCGCCTGTGGGTTGGAAATGTTGGAGGGCACATTGAGAGCCCTATTTTTCAACTCCGCCAACAGGAACAATCACTATCACCAAACCTGCAAGAGACATTTTGATCTACTGGCTTGTTGCATTTCATCGCACTAAAAATTTGCTCAGCCCCGTTCTCCAGGCTCTCTTCAAATCTTGCCAAGCAGCTGAGGAAAAGCTTGACCATATGGCTGCTGATAAGCCTGCGGCATTTGCCCAAAGGGAGGCTGGCCAAAGGCCTGATAGCCTTGGTGATGGCCCTGTTGTCCATAGGCCGGTTGGCCATAGGCCTGTTGCCCATAGGCCTGCTGGCCATAGGCTTGGCCAAAGGCCTGCTGTTGGCCATAGCCCTGTTGGCCAAAGGCCTGTTGGCTAAAGGCCTGCTGGCCATATGCTGGCGGTGGGACATAAGCTTGTCCCATGGCTTGGCTTGGCTGTCCATAGGGCGGCTGCGCTGCTTGGCCATACCTTTGCGAACAGGGCTGAATGAGGACTAATTCTACCTGCGGATGCCTATAGTTGGCCATGATTGTTGGAACGGAAAGGATTTTGATTGATTTTACAAGAACTATACAAGAACTGCAATTCTCCACATGGCATCTACAACGATGGGTCCTACAAAATCCATGCTGTGATTCTGCTCAACCACGAAGTTCAAAACAACTTTAGTGAGCATAGCCTCACGCGTGTTGAATTCCATGTACCAAGCCACCCAAAGTTCAGGGGAGGCGCAGGCTGAGCCTGGCAACTCCAGGGCTTTTTCTTTTTTGGGACCGTTTTCGACATTTTTTAACAAGCAGTTGGGGCAACCAAATGTTCAAAGGGACAAAGGCTCGGTTGAATTGAAATTTACAGCTCCCAATCTGCAGAGTCTGGTTGCCTTTGACCTTCAACAGCCCTATGGATCTGGGATAGAAGTCTGAGCCTGATTGATACAAAGACCGTCTCGGAATACTCGCTGCGTGTGCTTCTGAATGCCAGTACTAATTCGCAAGCTCTTTGCTTGATTCAATCAGAATTGCCTCTAGATCATGAGAAAAAGTGTCATGGCCATGTGAAGGCCCTGATGAGACTCAATCTAACTTGGTTGCTATCACATAACTGCATGTTTTCCTTGGCCACAAGCACTTGATTCCCCAAAGTATCTGCAATTTGGCAGATCAACTGCTGCTTACAATAAAAGATAGAAAAACACCAAAAGCTGGCAAACAGCTGTGTTCGAAACGTCCAAACTCCCACACCAAGCTACCACAAAGTTCTTCGAAAAAAGGAGAATCGACTGAAGTACTGTATCGCTTCTTGATTAACGCTTGCGTGAATAGTGACGAATAGTGGAATGTGTTTCAATGTTCTTCATCTGTCACGTTCGTGAAATCCGTCAAAAAGCGAGATATTTCTGCACAAGCTGGAAGCATCGCCACTTTTCCGCAGTGTTTCCGCAATAGAATCCGCCAGAAAAAAATATTGCTCCAGGGCTACTCCGGAGGATATTATACATGGGTCCACTAGTGTAATCTTTTCATCAAGCCAACACCCAAGTGAACAGGCTGCTCAGACTCCTTAGTTTTGAGACAACAAAGACCCCTGGTTGCATTCCTCCAGGGCGGCCGGTTTGACCTGAGTGAAATCTGTTTTCTGAAGGTATTTAACAAGGACTGCCACCAGTCCAAGTAAATGGAGGCCGCAGGCCTTCAAAGTCTTCATCCTCGTCAGTTGAGGGAGGTCGATGCATTTCCTGTTTCTTTTGGAGGGCAACATGATCTGCTTCATAGGTCCAATGCAAAGCCGTGTAGAAGATCAAACAAATCGTCCATGGTATGCAACACCTCGGCCGCAGTGGGGTCCCACAAGTGTGGTCAGAAAATCTGCCTGGTGCAGAAACTCAGCCTTTTCAAATCCTCTTGACAGAAAAATTCCTCACCTCGACCCCATGCAAGCGCCTGGAGAGCCAAGGGGCACTAAAGTCAGACCATTGCCCAAAGCATCAGCGTTAATCTTTCTGATGTCCTCCCACAGTTCCAATGAATCCCTCTGCAGCTGACATGACTGACTTGTGTACCTTTTTTCAGGTGAGATTTACAGAGCTCACCCACTGGCAGCATTGGCAACAGAAGCGACCGTCCCTGCAGACTCCTCCGGAACCTGACTGATGGGTATCCGCTGCGTCTTGTACCCAAAGAATGCCTTGCAGATTTGCAAGGGCATCTTTGAGACGCCCTTTCTGCAATACCATTGCTTGAGTCCAATGTAGCACTTCATTTTCCCTCCAGGAATCACTGAGGCTAAGATCTCATTGATGAAAGTGTGGACAGTGTGGGGACTTGATGTATCTTCCCAGCACAAAAACGTAGAATGGATAGGGACAGGGACATGGCCACCCCATAAAGCTCCGGCTCCCAGCCTCAGAAACAAGAGCCACCAAAGGCCCACCAAAGGCAGCAGCCGTCCCTGCCGCTGCACACAGAACTCCTAGGATCCTGGGGCCGAAGCAGTGCACCGAGATGGGTTTGTCTTAAAATGTGCTAGCAATCAGAGGTTTATTCCTAATTTCACTGGTCAATCAGAGGTTTTCCCTCGATTCTCAGCTTGTTGATATATACCATTTTCAAACATACCCCAAATATCATATTCTTGTTGTGTTTTTTCAATTGACATCATATTCATACTATTCCCCTGCACAAGCCTAGAAACTGTGTTTGCTCCCCTAAGCGGTTCCCCTGCCTCGCTCGATGTTGGGGCGCGACGACTTCAGAGAGCATGGGCCGATTGACGCCGTAATCACACCAGGTGGCACAAAGGCCAAAGACCACCACAAGTCCGGTCCAATATGGAATGCCCTCCTGAGTACAGAAGCACACCTGGATCTGCTGGGAAAATTGGGAAAGGGTCCTAAGAGAAATGACATGAAATCGCCACAAATTTCTGATGGCTTTTGGGATGACAAGCCCTACAAGAATCAGTGTATATCCTGCAAGCCCAAAAAGACTCATGATGATATTACAATTCTTCACATTCCGCAGCTTCAGCTCCGTGAATTTCGATCTTTTGATCTTTCTGGATCGACGCCAAGCTTCCGGGCTGTGAGGAACGAAGTGGTAATACAACAGGGCCACAGGGATCGAAATGCAAACTGACAACTGAGCTGTGAAGGGCCGGCCTTGAAAACGACTCAACCTGCGTGTCAGACACAGCTGGGAACCCTGGGGTAGCGATCGCTAGCGATGCAAAACAAAGAGTTGGCCAATTTCAACACCTGGCAATAAGCTGGAGAGGTCATCTGGTCTGAAAATCATGTACCCTCAGAATCTGATGGGTTTTCATCTTTTCCTCATGTTCCTCCATGATTTTTGCGATAAGTTGGGGGGGTATCCCCGATTTTTGGGCATACCCAAGTCCTCCTGTTCAGCTAAGTTATATCCCATCACTATCCCTTTAATATCCCACTGTTGGATCTGTTGGTATCCCCCAGTCTTGGACCAACTCAAAAACGCCACGGGTGCTTTGTGAGTCCATCACCAATGTAGCCGCCAAGCAAAGCCCCAAAGGAGCCGCACAAGAGCATCAGTCCAGAAATGCATCCTGCAACAATCTGCAACGGGTTTGTGCCGAATGTCCCTGTGAAAGTCAGTGAAACTTGGAAGACTTCCAGGTTTTTTCGCCTTCAGCTAGCTTGGCGGACAACACACATCATTGACCGCCAGCTGTCCTGCCGTCAAGTCAGGTACTCCTGAGTATTGCAAGAACCTTGGTGTCAACAGCAGCTCATTCAAATCCGAGACTTGGAAGTCCATGTGGTTCACCATCCACTCTCAAAATACTTCGATCCAGGATCCCTGCCATGTCACTTGGATCCCTGCCATGTCACTTTCCGCAATCTCCCTCCCCTTGCCATCCAGCGACATCGTGGCGAAGCTCATGGCCGTCCATGGGATGCACGCGAAGCAACCCTGCAGGACGATGACCGAGAACGTCCACACCTCGGAAAGGTCAGAAATCCCTGGGGATGAAGGCAGAAAAAAGACGTGAATACAACATGTTGAAACAGTGTGAAACCATCAAAAAAACAGCATGTGAAACCAAAGACTGAAAAATAGAAAAGCCTTGACACTTGCTTGACACTTGCATGTTTGTTTTCTGCAACCATTTGGTAAATCCCATAGTAAATCCCTTAAACTCATTGGTTGTGGCTCTATGGTTTCAGTCCAAAGTCAAGTCGTCCAGGCCTCGAAGAAAGACATCACCGTGCGCAACTCTTTGGAGAAGCTGATGGAGCCATACCTGAAGTCATCAGTGTCCAATAGATTGGTTGGAAAAGCTACGAAACCACGGAGAATTTACCATCTGATTAGGGCATTAAAAAGCTTAGTCCATCAAATTGATTAGGGATGATTAGGGCATTGGAGGTGAGTTTCCGATTTTCACAACTTGGCCACCCGCGAACATTTTTGCGACTGCTGATTTGGTCTCTAAGGGCTCCACATCGTCTCATCGGCAATGTGCGAATCGGTTGGTAGCCTGACCAACTTCTTCACGGCATAGCCCAAGAAAATGCTAAGAATTCCCACCTCGGCCGCAAGCGGCTCAGCCAGGCTGTGTGTTTGAAATTGAGAAATTGATACTTGTGGTGAAGTTTTCCCGAAAACTCTAAAGATTCTCCCAAGATGTCACGCTCAGAATCTGGACCATTCAGTCCAGCCGCTATGCCGAACGCTACTCGCCAACCATACAGGCCAAAAATCCTGACGTTGGATCAGTTGGATCTGTCATATTCATAAGTCCCAAGATTCAGATGGCTTGAAATCCCCCTGCCACAACTTTCTCGCACTCAAAGATGATCAGTGGAAAACATATGGAGTTTTGAGTTTATAATTGATCAATGACAAAAAAAGGACAGCACATCAGGGATATTCGAGATATATTGAGGCTTAAGCGGCTTATCTATTTCATGAAGCGGATGTTTTTCAAATAGCAAGTGGGTGTCCAAATTTACGGCCGGGCATTCACTCCCACCCCACAAACTCTACCACTTCAGCACCCATCCCGTCGCACAAATTCAAAAGTAATGTTTGCTTCCAGCAATCTCAAGTTTTGCCACGTGTAGAAAGTCAAATTTCCAAGTGTAACCAAAACAAATTGCAATTTCCAATGTAACGTATGAAAATTCAATATGCTGTACGTTAATATATGCTAATATGAATAATGAAAACTGGCAGGGTCTAGTTTCTTACGTTTTCTAATTTGTTTGAATCCAATTGATTGAGACAAATTGAGACATTTGGTTTCAAAAGTCTATCTACCATTCGACCTAAATACTGTAGTTCTCAGAACATAAATGTCAAACGGCCAGCTTAAAACCAAAGATAGTCAATATGTTTATTATATCTTGTGAGGTGAGCCATTTCATCAATTACCGTGACCACGATCATAGGGGAAGTGCTTCCCACTTTCTTTCGGTCAAAATAGTTCGACTGTCCAAAACCATTTCCGATTTGGGGCTTGACCATGTTCAGGGTGTGAGAAAAAAAACTTGAGGCCTAGGGGATAGGACGAAAGCTAGCTTGGCAGGGAGCTTTGCATGAAAACACAATGATGCTGAGGATGTGGATGCTGCCGAATGTGCTGCCAGTGGCGGCATGCCGACGGTGTCCCCGAGGAGAATTCCATGAACACTGTGATATTGGTGTCGTGAGCAGCCGGTGGGAGAGGGGGGTATCACTATGAAGTTTCATGCGATTGGAGATTCCAGCCTCCCGTGAGGGTCTCTAGATTTTATCAGAGGTGCATCCCGCCCTTCTCCTCCTTTTTCTTCTCCTTCTTCTCCTACTCTTTTCCCTCAGCTCCTCAACTGCAAGCACCAGATCACAGTGGCATGGCCAGACTTCAACCGCGAGCTCCAGATCTCAGTGGGCACTGCCGCACTGCTGGACCTCAACTGCGAGCGCCAGATGTCAGTGGGCACTCACAAACCTCAGCGGCGCGCAAGAAAGAATAGAATGCCAGACTTGAATGTCAGATAGAATGCCAGATAGAATGCCAGATTATTTTTCAGAAAGAATGTCAGAATAGATGCCAGATAGAATATCAGACAGCGGGAAGAATTTTCAGTTTTTTTGCTGGGAAGAATGTTGATGGAATAAATACAGAGAGCCATTCCTATAAACCCTTGCGAGATTCTCGAGAAAGGAAACAGGTTTACTCAAACATCATGGTTCTCCAAAGCAGCAGGATTCACAAACCATGATCTAAAACATTTTGACGCTTCATGTAGGAAGTTTCATCCCAGAAGTGTGACTTAAAGTCTAAAAATACCCGATGAGACCTACCACTTGATCCACTTTTCACCAGTGTTGGAAAATCATTTGCGCACGAACAGGAAGCTTAAAACATTGAAAAGTACAGCCGTACTCATGTGGATGTGGGTCAAAATGGAAGACCGATGTGGGACCACAGATGTTAGTCTAGTTTAGTATTCACCATCCAATTATTGGGGTACCTAATTTTGACCCTACCCATGTAGTGGCAAACAATATCAGCTTTCCTGGAGCGGTGCGAATTTTTTCATCAGCTTATCTCAAAGATCCGAATCCCCCAGTCCTCCTCTGCGAGATGGTGGTGGTGATCATGGCAGTGCTCATGCAGCCCATGGCCATAGAAAAGCCAGACCAACTGTAGGCCCGTCCTCGCTCCTTTTCCAGGAAGGAAAAAATTCTTGCTGATATAGTCATCATAAACACAATATGTATATAAATAGATATATATATATATATATTACTATATTATATTATTATTTTAAATATTATTATTATTGTTATTATTATTATTGTTATTGTTAATGTTATTATTATTAGTCTTCTTATGTTTATTATTCTTATCATTACTATTCTTTTTCTTATTATTATTCCTGTTCTTATTCTTATTCTTATTATTATCATTACTATTATTATTGTTATTATTATTATATTAATTTTATATATATATATATCATAATCTATGTAGTATATGAATATGGATGTATATGCTAGTTCAGTGGAATTTCTGTTCTCTCTTCCAGGATTTGCAACAATTCGCGCGGGAAGAATCCCACAGTGCCCCAGCAGCTGAGCTCCTGTGGAGGTGTCAGGTCTGCTATCAGGGTCTGCGTCGTGGGCGAAAGCGTAGCTAGGGCAATCCCGTTGAACAAACGGAGCACCAAGATCCAGCCTCATCTGAAAAAGCTCTGGGTCAAGGGGTCAAGATACTACAAACTTCCAAGGATTCATACCTTTCTTCCCCCTATGTTGCATGGGCTGCAAAATGAGGTATGCGTCGTGGGCCGAATCCAACAGTTCTCTACAATCCATTCCTTTTCTGAGCCAGGTGGGCCAGGTGGCTAGTGTCAGTGATTGAGGCCAAAAGAAGGGTGAGCACGCCCCATCCGCTGCAGCCACTAAAAAGCACTTGCTGAGGAGACAGGATGCCGTTGTCCAAAAGTACGCCCCAAAAAACCGAGAATGTCGCGCCTCAATGCTTCCAGAACAGAGTCACAGTCAAAAACAAACTGAACAAAATCACGGTAATGGATCTTTTGTGGTCCCAAATCTCCCCAAATCGTCTCCAACAAGGGCCAGTTTTTCAAGGTAGAAGTCACAGCTGAGGTGCAGGTAAGCGTTTGCATCAAGGAGGATGCAGCCAAGGTCGTTGGAGACAAACCCAGGTCTCCCTCCAGTGCTCGGAAAGATGCAGGCAAAAGCTGCATGTCAGCTCCTTCCCACAGGATGAGATCCATTCATGCAGGAGGTCTGAGCCTTTCTTCCATCAAAGTTTCACTCTTCATCTCTTTATATAGATGTCTTGGAGTTCCTTTATCGTTCTTTTACATCCCGGCTGGCCCCTAAATCTTGCATCACTTCATTGATTTATGCGGCTTAAAAAAGCCAACAAACAAGCTCCAAAGCCTCCACAAATACTTCCAGAAAGCCTCCGTTCCGCGTCCTTCAAAAAAGCTGACCGCGTAGATCATGGAAAGGGTGATGGAAATCTCCCGTGCCGAGAGGTCGGTCGGCTTCACCGGTGCAGTATCGGGCACGCCGAAGCGCAAATGGTCAGTGCTTCCTTTCCTGGCCATGGCGAAAAACCAAGAAATGGAAACCTCCAACTTTGAGCCCGGCTGCAGGAAGTTCAAAGAGCTGTGGTCATTTTACACTAGCCACTGAGCCACTGCTTGCTGAAAAGCTGGTGGGAATGAGAACTCAAATCCTGGAAATTGGCGCCCTGATGCGCCCTGCTATAATCTTGGCATCGCAAAACTCTCGGCAGATTCCAAGAAAGATACAAAAGAGTCGAAGAACATGACTTGCTCTGCACCTGTCACATTGCAGCGATTAAATCCTTTCGTTTGGTGCCTCGCAGTCTGAAGTCCCCAACCCCCATGCGATGCGGCGCAGGAGGTCGGGATTTCAAGGTCCCATCCCAGCCGCGCCTTGAGGCGTTCCACCTCCGCTTTGAGTCGAGCTACCTGGCACTCCACTGCGAACGAGCAGAGAGTAGTTGACCCTACCGGGTGGAATCCAAAAACTTGGGTGCATACTGTGTATACCCAACTTTGACCCCATACATCCCCATACCAACATCATTCTTCGGTTTCACAGGCTGGTGCAGCCTCTGCCAGGAGGTCAGATTCCTGGGCATCACATCTCAGCAACAGGAGCAGCAAGAGCCATCTTCGCGCCATCGCAACTCATTTGCGCAGCCCACGCTGCATGGGGTGACTAAGTAACAAACACAGACGGGCTATACCCTGGTACTCCGATGATAAATAGCGGGGGTGAGCTGTACCTACTCTTGCTTTGATGATTGCAGCCAAGCTTTATTCGAAAGAAAAGGCCCTGATTTGGCACGGAAGTAAGATAACCTTTTCGCGCTGGCCGACTGTTCATTTGAACTCATTTGATCCTTTCCAGTGGACTGCTTGGAGCTGCTTGAAATGCTAAGCTGATTCTTTTGGCCAGAGCCCCCTCAAGGAAGTGTCCCTGGTTGTCGGAGGAAAAGGCCCATGATTGAACAGATTCAAGCGCTCAATGTGCTGAAATTGGTTCGATGCCATGACTTTAATGAAAGCTTTGAAGCCGAAAAATGCCATGAAGAGTATCATGCGTTTTCCAGAGTTTGGAGACAGCGACGGCCAATTTCTGGGCATTTTTTTGCTAAGACTATACCGAACACTTATCATCCCCCATTTACAAATGATTTTCCATTAAAACTTCCATTCATAAAGGATCTTCCAGCCACCCTTCGGTTTTGTTGTGGGATGGGCGGTTGCAGGGCAATTCTGAAATGCTGGTGCTGGTGCTGATGTTTTTTTCCGCGTGACAAGCGCCAGCTGACACCGTGCCACAGCTAGTCATATCTAGGTTCCAAGAGTGGGAGAATCAACAACTCGGATGTCGCAATGATGGTGCAAGTCTTAGTCAGGTTTTCATGATGCGCCGAGGAGCGACCTTCATCTCACACTTGGTGGAAGGCCCTGACACACTTCGTACAGTGCCTGGCTTCACACCCCGGTTTGCGTCGAACCCAGGTGGTCCTGTTGCCCGGGATATGCAGGAAGGAATGCGGTGAGACCTCTGAAGAAGTATTGGAATCTACCGCCGTGTTGGCAGTCTAAGTCTCATTGGACTGAAAAAAAATAGACCCGGGAAGACTGGTGAAGACTGGACACTTTCACTGAAATGTGTGGCGTCTTTAATTTTCTGACATTTGCGAAGGAAAGCCGAGCTTCCCAGGGGTTGCAATCGCCCCTGCGGGCACACCTTTTGAAGTGTCTCAGCATGGCCAGGACCAGAACGATCCTACTCGCCTCCATCCACGAAGAATTCGGTGTCTTCCCTCTGACCCTGAAAAACACAGAAAGGACATACCAACAATACTACAAAATGAATCAAAATGAATCAAAACGACTCTGGATATGATTCCTGTCTTGCGAATCACAGGCAAAAGCAAATCTCATCGAAACTCTACCCAACTCAAAAAATAGCTACCACTGCCCCTTCCACACCATCCCACACCATTGTCCAAACCCAACAGCTGCCTCAGGAATCATCCATTGAAGTTCAAGGACCTGAAAGCAGGAGACAACCAATGAGTTTGTTTTTTGCCAATGGCATTGACCAAACTACAAGAAGCATCTGCGAAAGCGAGGTGCCGACTCTCCCGAATCTTCCCTTATGCTGTCATCATCGTTGCTGCCGAACATGCGACCTCGCGCTTTCATCGCTGCCAATTCATTGTTGATACATTATCACAATCGCACAAACGAATTCAAAAAAATGTTGAGAATTCATCTATTGGCTGAACGGAATTTATATGATGGTCTGTATCATGATGAGCCTCCTCCCTATTTATAGGAAGACTCCATCTCTCAGCGCCCCACTGGGACTTCCATCATCAAGCAAATGGGAGCCTCCACGTGGCTCGCGATCCCAGCCACTATCTTCAGGTTCATTACCCAGGTTGTCATTGCCATCATTGCCATCCTCCTCAAAATCATCGAAATTCTCCGACCATCCCCTGCCAGGCATTGCCTTGGGTGGTGCCACCTCAGCACTAGCAGCACTAGCAGCACTAGGAGCACTCGCACCACCGGCACCGCCGATACCGATGGAGCTGGAGGTGGTACCAGTGATTCCTACAGCTGTGGCACCTGTGGCACCTGTGGCACCTGTGGCCCCAGTGGCTGCCGTGGCACTCGTGGCACCTGTGGCACCTGTGGCACTAGCGACGGTGCCGACAGTGGGAGTGGTGCCGCGGGCTCCATCCTTTCCAGGAGATTGGGATTCACTGGCCTCAAAGTCAGAGTAGTCCCTGCTGATCTGATGCACCTCCTTCGCCTCATTGACTTCGTTCACCTCCGCATTTACTTCATTCGCTTCATTTGTCTCGTTGGCTTCATTTGTCCCAGTTGTCTTCTGGTTCGTGGGAGGTGGATTGAAGTCTTGGTTCCTAGACCTCTCGCTGGCTACAGCAGTCACGTGCTCACTCAAAGCCCGAACCGCAGCCTCATCACTCTGAGCTATACTCCTCTCACTGGCAGCTGCAGTCACATGCTCGTTCAAGGGTCGAATTGCGGCTTCATCACTCTGAGCTGTACTCCTCTCACTGGCAGCTGCAGTAACATGCTCATTCAAAGCTTGAATCGCAACTTCATCACTGTGAGCTGGACCGCCTGTTCCATCAGATCTGATGGAGGGCACATTATCAACTGGATCAGATCCGATCCGATCCATGGCATCCATGGCATCCATGGGCTCAAACTCATCAGGTGAAGCCTGTGATCCTTGAGATCCAGGTCGGTCAGACTCAGCTTCAAATTCATCTTCAAAGTCCTCACTCTGAGCTGCTTCTCCCTCCACCCTGATTGGCTCCACCGGCTCTGGTTTCATTGGCTCCACCGGCTCCAGTTCCTCATCACTGGCCTCCTCTCGGGTGCTTGCCATGGCCGGCTTCTTGGGAGAGAGCCTGGGGGACGACAGATGCGAGGAATCGTCGTCTGCCTCAAAGGCGTCGCTGTAATCATCGGCTTCATAGTCATCCTCATACTCCTGCCAAGTGACTCAAGTGGTGTAGCCAAGCGGATCTAAGGGGTGTGTAGGATCCAAGGTTCTCAGATAAAGTCCTAAGTCCGTCCGTTGGGTTCAACTGGAATGTTTTTTTTCGATAATTTGGGGGTTGGATGAGCTATGCACTCAAAAGAAAGTGGGGGAGTCCTCACTTTCTTCCAGAGCAGGCGAAGGCTGAACTTTGCTCTTTGCCTCAAAAGCTACGTGAGATGCTCTGTCAGACAGAGTAGTATTGAACAGCCCAAGCCCATCTCTGGTGGCACTTAGGGTTAAGATGGGTTCAGACAGTTTAGACTATCAACAACACTCTGTTTGGTTTGGCTTGGGAGCAGGAACTCCCAGCTGTGTCACGGCCTTCCAACCTTTCCACCATCAGCCGCACCTTTGGGAGCTGATCATCCTCGCTCTCAAAGTCTGAGTAGTTTTCAGACTCGCCATCTTCACCTGGCGGAAACTCTGCAGGCCTGGAAAAGTGGCTGCTGCCTGATGGCATGCACACATTGAAAGATATTGAGACTTTGCGGAGTTGAAAGCCCTTTCAGAGTGGTTCAGCCCCAAAACCCCAAGTCAACCAGAGGAACTGCACCGAACCCTCCTCAAAAATCCAATCGAAAATCCATCTATCAGCATCTTAACTCTGCTTTATCACCTTCAACGTTGCCTTGTTGAGGCTTTGCTTCGCTGTGGATCTTGTCGAGCACATGCTGTTCCAGCTTCTCCAGTTCTGCATGTGCCACCTGCCAATGATCATTGCAGCATCTGTCAATTGACGTGATAGGCCTGATAAATAGGCCTGATAGGCCAAAGTCAATCCCAGATCTGACAGAGAAACTCGCTGCAAACAGGACTTAGCCCACCTGCTTGGCATTCCGCACCGGCTCCGGGGTCTCGGTCCTGTCCGGCTTCACGGACTCATCCTGCGTCTTAGCGGTTTGGAGCGCAACTGAGTAGGGGTGTAAGAAGCACCAAACAAAGGATTCCCCTTTTCTCCCCAAATTTTGCAAAGCCTCGCCTCATTCTCAAATTCTTGGGAATACACCTCCGGCAGTCCTCAGGGCATGGGTCTGTGGCTTTGAGGAAGCACTTGTTTGATGCAAATGCGATTTAGCGCAGCATATATGCCTTTGTGGTGATCAGTGATCAGTGTCATACAGAGCCTTTTCAAACTCGAAGAATAACCTATTTGGGGTCAGACATGAAGAAAACCAAAGAGTTTGCTCTGGCTACCTCAATCACAACGTTCCAACGAAAGGTTCTTTAGCTGTTAAGCCAAGCAGTGTCACCCACCAATGACTGAAATCTGACCCCTTCTGCGGCTCCTTCACTTTCGCTTTTGATCTTCTGCAAGACATTTTGATTCATCTTTTCCAGCTCTGTCCGAGCTGCCTGCTGAATAACGAAAAAATTGGATTTGGATCGGAACACGCCAGGTGAATTTCAAACTTAAGACACATGTTTGGGTGAGTCTACCCTAAATCAACAACAAAATCCAGTGGATCAAATCATTTTAGCTGTTAATCTCCACATCCCAACGGTCCCAACCTTTGGACCTTCACCACCCAATCTTCCCATCGCGCCTGCTTGGCGCTCTTCAGTGGTTCGGGCGTGCTTGATTTCCGCCCAGAAGCCTCCGCTGTCTTCGCAGAAGGCTCCTTGGCAGAAGGGACAAGACCATACAAGACCAAAATGAATGGGATGCCAGCAAGTCAAAGCATCAAAAGACCCAGTAAATTGAAATTGGTTGAGCACATTCCCAATGATTCCATACCAGGAACAAGTCTACTCCCTGTTCTCCCTCCGTGCCTTTTCTTTGGAACCAGAGCACTTTGCACCTCGCGGTCTCGCCTTCGGAGTTGCTCGAATTGGACCATCGGAAAATCATTTGGGGATGGGTCAAAACCCTGGTACCTAGTGAACCCCAAAATAGCTGGTAAATGGATGTTCATCCCACTAAAAATGTATCTATAGGTATTGACCCATACCCATTTGGATCCAAAACTTTTCAACAATTTCCGATGTCATCAGTGGTCTTCACAGTCTTCACACTTCAGCGCAGCCTCCAACGCTTTCCGCTTCGAGTTTCGTGGCGGCCGTATGGGCGGTGGGGGGATCCTGCATCACTTGGGAGAGAAGCGCAAAATCTTAGAAAGGAACATAAAGGAACCCAATGGCGAAAGGCGAAAGATGAAAACTAACCAAATTCTGAGAATGCTCATCTAAAGCCGTCCTGAAGACATCTGCCTTGTGCAAGGGGCGTCGCAATCTGGAATGCCTTGAAAAGGGCGGTAGGAGCTTCGACCGGGCTATTGCTGCATGGAACACAGAATGACAAGTAGCCAGCAGTGGTCATCAAGAAACGCGTCACTGATCCATCGACAGCCTCAAACAGTCCCCACAAGAAAGCACCAGCAGTTGTGTTACTGGCCTGTGCACGAGAGAGGAATAGACCTGCCACGATGTCAATGCTCAGTTCAGGGAATGGTTGCACGGGCCCTTCTATTGGGGCCCTTAATTTGCCTTCCTTATCCCTTCCTTCAATACGCCTAAAAAATCCCTTATGAAAAATCTCAAAAAGAGAAATTTTTCGGAGCGCTCCCTCCTTCCTTTCCTTCGGATCGTCTGCATTATCTAAGACAAACTCATATGGCAGTGTGTCAAAACCTTGTACCCCTGGTGAACATCAAAATAGCTGGTAAATGGATGTTCATTCCCCTAAAAATGGTATTAATAGGTATTGATCCATACCAATATCTTTCTGAAGGCCTGGTAGCGAGACTCCAGCTCCTCACGAGTGTTCACTGTGGGTCGGATACCTGGCTTTGCATCCAACACAGCTAATTCAATGCTGACTTAATGGTTATGTAATGGGAATCATGGGATAAATGGAGGTTTAATGGGATAAATAACAATAGATAACAATAAATATTAAAGAAATAACAATAAATAACAATCTCTCTGAGAATCAAACATGTCTTGCTGGAAACTCTTCGATTTAGTTCGATGAGTTTCCCATCAAAACCTCCATTTCGTTGAGCGATTTCCCAGCTAGCCATGTTTGAAAAACCAAAGGGCAAAGCCAAGGCCCCGGCGAATCAGCCGATCCAACAAGACCTTGTTGTCCTGATCTATCTGTCTAGCAGCTTTCTTTCGATAGCTCAGGTTCAACGAGCCTGCGACGAAGATTGGCATCAGCAACTGCTATCCCAATCAAGATCAAGCAGCCACAGCACAGCTCGACATGCCCTTCGCATCTTGTCATTCTAAGGTTCACAACCATTCAACGAAACATCCACTTAATCTGACATCCGTCAACTTCATAGCAGATTCGTCTTGACACATCAATCCCAAGACATCTATTGCCACTGGGATTCTTCCAAAAAGACCATCTCAAACATCATGAAATCATCCTTTAAGGGGTGCGATGGCAACATTTCGACCCATCCAATGCCCATATTTTCGCACCTGCCGGCGCAGAGCCGGGCGGCTTCGAAGGCTTTGAGGCCAGGGAATGTTGCCGACTTTCGGACTCGCGCATCACCTGAGGAGTCACCAGTGGACTGAGGGTTCGGGGAGGCTAGTCAGCCCCAAAATCAAACATTCAATGGATTGGTTTAAGGGAAAATCTACAGGAAACCATGGTTTTTACCATCAAATATAGGGCTTTCCTGTAAATTTTCCCATCATCCAATTCTATGAAACATTGAACGGAATGAATCAAGGCAAAATCGACGTCAGAGATCAGGGTTTTTTTGAACTTCCGACCACCTCTGGAGAATGGGATGGTATAAACTACCATCCCCAAATCAAATAAGCTTGTGGCATGATGCTTACAGTAACATGTTTTAACACATTATTGGGAATACAAGTTCGTATCCTCGCTTGGAAAATGCCAATGCTGAACCTTCCAGACGACATTTGCACAATGGTCTTCAAAGAACGAAGAAGAGAAGTATTTTGTATGGTGTCGGAACAAATACATCCAAGAATGATATCATATATATATATATATTATATATATATTATGTGTATGTATATATAATATATCAATGATATACAATGACAGTAGGTGTTATAATATATATCATGATCTATGATAACGTAAATAATTGTATGTTATTGACGTTGGTACATATCATGGTAACATGTATATCAATGTATTATATTATATTATTGTATACCAATGTATTATATTATACTATATTATATTATTATATTATATTATATTATATTATATTTTATACTATATATATATGTGTGTGTGTTGTATATATATATGTGTGTGTGTTGTATTATATTATATATACATGTATATCAATATATTACATTATGTTCTGTTATACTGTATTATATATATATATGATATGATGTGATATGATATTATATTATGTTATATTATAGCGTATTATATTATGTCTAGATATATGTTGTACGTATATATGAGATGTGTCTAATCCTACCATCTCCACAGGGCTTCATCTGGGCTTCTCACCACGCAGAGGCGCTCCACCATTCGTTGGTTGTCGCGCTTCAGCGTGTCCACGGCCACCTCTTTTCGCTTGGCCCTGGAAATGCGCATGGCTTCGGTGCCTTGGTGATCATGGATGCCACGGATGCCGTGCCGAAATTCGGGCCTTGGATTTTTCTGGAGAATCCTGAACTATAAATGGATATTGATATATCAATGGATTATAAACTATAAAGATCTATCAAGGTTATAATCATGATTTCAATAATTCCATGATAACTTATTATAAATATGAATGGAATCCTGAATCCCATTAAAAACAAATATGAAATGGATATGGATATCATTAGAATATTAGAATCATTTGAAAATCATTTGAATAGGTTTTACGAAAAAAATGCATTTGAAATCTCATAAGTGGAGATAAATGCATTGATTTGAGGCTACCTTTCAAGGAAACCAGAGCTTTCAGACCACTTACAGGGGGTCCTCTTTCAGATTTTCCGGATGCCCAACCATGAAATGCATCAACCTCCCAAGGTAAAGGCTTGAAGGAATGTCAAAGCTTTGGAAGCCTGTATTTAAAGTATTTTAAATTATTTAAGAGGTAAATAGGACACATCAGGATCTCATCTGATCAGGATCTGATCAGGATCTGATCGCAAAAAAAATGGCAGAGCATCTCCCAAGCTGCCGACGCGCGTGCATGACTTCCGCCTGCCGCTCTGTCTCCAAGACCTGAGATCCCGAGCTCAACACATCTGTCCAAAGCGCTCGATAGAAAAAAGATGAACAAAGCCCCTCTTTGAATATGGTTCTCAAGAGCCCCCACATGGTCCACATGGTCAAATTTGGTCAAATTGGGTAAATGCGGTATGCTTTACCATTGAGTTTACCACGAGGTGCGCAAGGCATTTTCCACACGACCAAGACGACCAAGGCCCCAGCGTCATAGTAGGACTCCGCATTTTCCACTCGCTGCCTCTTCTGAAAAAAAAACTCGAATTCCGTTGGTTACCCAAAAAAGATTTTGCTTGGATGATCTTGGATGAAGGGTCTTCTCCATTCCGTTGGTTTACGGCATATTCATCTGGGATCATCTGGGTATGGCCGGGATGTGATCAATGATAGCACCAACTCAAATCTTCATCCCAGTGGCCATCGCCTGTGGGCATAAATCACTCGGTGTAAATGCTGGAATCGCAGACGGTCCAAAGCTACCAGCTCCTCGGGTGTGAGATGAAACAGGAATGGAGTGAATGGAAGGCCCCTAGGGGGATTCCCAAAATGCATCAAAAAGTGAACCTCATCAGAAAGGTACCACAACCACCTAACAGGGCTTTTAAAAAAAGTCACTGGCTGTTCTCATGCAGAAGTCAAAAAAAACTGGCTTTAGACACTGGAGACCTTTCTTTTTGTCACCGACTTCCTGCCTCAGCCTGGTCCCAGGCCGGTGGGCGGTTGGGCTCCTGATGGAAACTCGAAGCACCAGGCATCAAACGGGGCTGGTGACTGGTATAAAAAAATCATCATAAATCAATATAAATCAAAGATCATATGCCTTTTTGGTTGTGAAAAATGGAAATGACCCCTCTCCGGAACCAACCAGCGTGAAAATGACATCCAAGGTTCTATCAAGAGGTTGACGATTGAAGCCTTGGAGTATCCAATACGTTGGACTTTATGCACTTGAAAACAATTGCCTAAGCACATGCGTGTCCCAAACACCAAGCCGCACCTTGGCCGAAGAACTTGCCCCAACCATTTCGGTGTAGCAAATCCCCCCTTGCTGAGAGCCATAGGGTGAAGTAGATGGACCAAAGGCTTCAAAGATGGGCACAAATTCAACTGAATCAAAAAAACTGGAAGCTGAATGTCGAAATGAAGCCCAGCTTGACTTCAGCTTGACCAAGAAATGGGGTTGCTCGAAACCTGCCCATAGAATAAGGAACTCTGGCTTCTTGAACATTCCCCAGCACATCAGCCAGCTCGCGTTGACGAGAGCCATCCTTTTAGCCATCAAAGCAGGCCATGCAGTCCACTTGCGGCTGTGCCCTTTCTTTGAAAGGGTACACGTAGTTGGAGTGAAATCTCAAATAGCCCAAATGCAAAAAGTTGCATCACTAGAAAACAAGTGTAGTTTCAAAGATTGTAAGCCAGTGTCCAAAAGTGGAGACCAAAGCCACCGCCTATCCTCTACCAGTGATGCATTCACACCTCTGTACACTTTGAATTGTTGGCCTCTTTTTGTCATGAGCCTGAGGACCTGAGTGCGGATGCAAGCAGTCAACTTTCTGGTAACCTCTCCGTCAGGCAAGCCTTATGTTGTACATGGTTCATGAAAATTATAAGACTGCCTCAAACTCTACTAGTTTCCGGATGTGTTCATCAGATTTCTATTTACAGAGGCTGGACAGCCTAGCTCTTGAAATGCGCGGAATACTTTTAAAAAATGGCAGCCCCAGGCTGGGTATGGCAATCTGGGAACCAAGCAAAACTTCCTCAGCTGCTCTCGTCCTGTGCTCGACGCTCAGGCCTGCAGGCTGACACTAGTGGCGCGTGAAAATGTAGATCCAGGCGGGAACTCTGATGGCAGCAGTCCAGAGGAGTCCAGAGCAAAACAACATAAAACAACTGCATTTCTCAGTTGTGGGACTTGCCACGATCATTGAACAACTCTGCGAGCTTGGGAACCAATCCCTTTCGCCAAACTTTTTTTTACCTGGCACTCGCGCGGCGAGTCTCTGTGCCTCTCCTTCCGGTTTTGACACAATGGTCATGGAGTCATGGTCATTTTCTGTGAAGCAAATAGCAACAGCAAGATGTCTGGTTTCTGCTGCATAATCAGCTAGTTTGTTTCAACTTTAAACCTCTAGATCAGTACCGCAAGGAAGATCCAGTTGGAACCTGTGAAAATCGGCCCGCCCCACCAAGGGCTTTCAGCTCACGAATCATACTCGAGCATATTTTCAGTGGGACATTCAAACCATGCTCCCCTGTGTCGAATGGAATGATCATATTGAACCCATTAGACTTGCCGGTCCCATGTCTGCCATGATTGCCAGTGTGAGGACTGGAAGCCTCATGATGGGGCAAGGCCAGAAAAGCATCTACCTATCCGACTATCCACGACTATCCAGGACTATCCAGGACTATCCAGGACTATCCATGTATCCGACTTGCCTCAGGGGCAAACAGGCTTCAGTCGCTCTGAATACCTTTTCACCAGCTTGGCGTCTTTCTTCACAGCATCAAACGTTTTTGTCAAAGTCTTCTGGCACGTCCACCTGGAATTTTCCAGAGGTGGTCCTCGGACGTGCCGTCAGGGTTGTCTTGAAAGAGTTTTGGCTAAGTGGTATGTCCCAACACCCACAAAGCCATGTCTTGCAGCACCAATCGCAAGAATCGTCCTACTTGGATCTATTTGGGGTGATCAAACTTGGTGCCAGACCTCTTGCAAGATTGTGTTTCTACGGGCTTTTCTGTGAACATCTGCACGCCCGCATGACTATCAATGACTTGAGACCAGCTGTCAGTGTTTCTGGGGAGCCCTGCGACATGGCGGCAAACATTCCGGGCCTCAGTGTGCAACATATTGAGCCATGAGCTACCGCTATCAGTACCAGCTAGGACCAAGCATGTAGATTACTGATGATCACTGTAGATCACTATCAACCTTGGGAGAAGGTTGAAACCCAGGAGGTGGCAGTTTTTTTTCCGCGCAACTTGATTGACCTGTTGCCGCTTGGAGGTCAGACTAGATCAGGGCCTGGTGCCTTTGGGCACAGACCCTTTCAGCGATCGCCCACATCAGACCCCAAGAAATGGGATGTGGTATGATGCTATGAATTCACATTGGTTCGCCGTGCGAAATTAAAAGTGGGGCAGGTCTGCCCTTCACCTGTTCAGGTGGAAAAGTTTTCACAAAGTGCTCTTATCCGTCAGAGGTTGCGGCCCAGGTTGCGGCCCTCAGCCGAAAGCCGCGCGGACTTTCTCGATGAGGTCTTCCAACTCAGCTTCTTTGCCCATGCCGTGAGACAAGCAAGTTGCCAGGAAATCCACCACGATACTACCATCCAGACCACACCTGGCATGTGTTTTGACCCTTGGATGGCTGCCAAATGCGTCCAATATTCCCTCCCCATAGTGTTAGATGATTTAGATATATTTAGATATACAATCAGTATCAATCAGTTGTCTTCGTTGTCTTCAGGGTTCTGATGTGAGGTACCTTTGCTTGTGTTCTGGTTTGAATTGTGGTGCTTCATCCCAAGTACCTTTGCAGCTCTGACAAAGCACCTGACGATATCTGTGTTTCTCCCCATTCTGACTTTCGAGGATCTGGAGTTGTTTGCAGCACTTTGGTTTCTGAGCTCTCCTCTACATCACTCAGATTGAAACATTTGACAATTTGACAATGTGACAAAGTGTCCCACTTTCGAATGAATACTTTAAAAGCAGCAGACACAAATCCAGAGACTAAAAACCTAGCACCTGGCCTGTGTTGTTTTGCGTGATTCCTTGTAAGGTATGTGAAATCTGTTTAAATGATCAGCTAGCAAAGGGACAAAATCGAAAGCTTGTGATTGTTTGCAGTAAACTCATACTACACATGTTTGAAAGCCAGAAGTTTGGGATGGATATATAGTTTGAAGTCTTGCAATGCGGCAAGCATTTCTCAGATGCAGATTCGGCGCTTTGCGCCCTCGCACCACTTTAAGTAGGGAGCTTTCCCAGGATCTCATGTGAATCCTGGCTCTCCCTCTACAGCTCTGGCTGGTTGGTCTAGCCTCAGCATCGCGAATTTGGCAAGATTCTGGCACAAATCTATCCTGGCTTGTTGCTATATTTCACGATGAACTTTCTCATAGCAGACTCAACCAATCGACTGCCAAAAACAACCGCGTCAGCTGAAATTTCAGCTCACGTGATTGAAAAACTTGGTCTAGAATCTAGAACTCCTTGCGCCCACACTTTGTGCACTTGGAGAACTTGAACATACACTTGCCACCATCCTTGCTGCAGCCAGCTGCACCCCCAGGATTTGCCAAAGCCCCGGCACCTTTCACAAACTTGCCTTCCGCCTGCTGACAGTAGTTGCACTTGCCGTACTTCCAATGGTGGATGCCATTGGGGGACTTCGAACAACTGCCACTGGCAGATTCCATGGCACTGCTGGGCGCCAATTTATAGGTGCTTGTCTCTCCTGGGGCCCGGCTTGCAGACAAGTCCTTCGGGATCTCCCCTGGTAGGTCCACTTGGCCATGAATGCTCGCTCGGGTCCTTAGCAACTTTGAGGAACTTTGACCATGCAGTATCGACAATAGGCTATTGCCAGATTGTTTGTAGCAACCCCAAGTAGATACAAAAGTCGGAAACCTGAAAATGAGCTGAAAACATCACTTGAGAAACATCCTGGAAAAACTGTTCTATCTTTTGGAGGACCCTTATACATCCTTATACAGCAAAACAAAAAGACTCATGAAGCTTTCAACGCCCAGAGTCTTTACAACGGCGTCGCACTTCAAACAGTGTGCTCTATCGTTCAACCACTGAGGAACAGATTTGTAACCACAAAGGTGGCAGGTCACACGTGTGCGATCATCACCGGATCCCTTGGAGCCTTTCCGCACCTCCCTGGGGGAGGTCTTTGGCTCATCATTCATGGTCTTTGAGATGTCGTCCGACATGGTCTCCCCCACCAACAGCCCAGCAGCTGCTGCCAGGGGTGGAGAGGAAGGTCGAACTACTGGTGACTTGGAGGCCGCCATCTGCGGGTGGGTCACAGAGGAAGCAGTGGAAGCATCTGAAGGTCTTCGACTCTCTTCCTTCTCCACTTTCATGCCAGACTCGCCGCGGCCGCACTTGGTACACTTTGCAAACTTGAACATACATTTCCCGCCCATCTCACAATCAGCTGCTCCTCCAGGATTCGGCAACACCCCAGGACCTTTGGCCAACTTCCCTTCTGCCTGCTGGCAGAAGTTGCACTTGCCATACTTCCAGTGGTGTACTCCATCTGGTGCCTTGGAACAACTTCCACTGGCGGATTCCATGGCACTGCTGGGCGCCAATTTGAAGGTACTCACCTCGCCTGAGAGCCGGCGGCCTTCGCCGTTGGCCTCCGCACCGAAGATCTCGCGCTTGGCTTCGTGGATGGAGCCGCGAGTACGCAAAACCGCTTGGCACTTCAGGCAGTGGGCCCTGGGAGCAAACTTCGGCAAATTTTGGCAAGTTTCATGATGCAATCCACAACAGCTTCAACGACTTCCTTCTATAGTTCAAACATCAATGCCACTTGATTCAGGGTTGGAAATTATCCACATTTTGGAGGAACCTGCCTGTCATTCAACCACTGTGGCACACACTTGTAACCGCATTTGTCACACTCCATTCTGATACGCTCCTCTACAGCAGCCGCCATGGAAACTGCCTGTTAGAATTGTTCAAGGTCAGCGGGGATCACTTAGAGTGGAATCAGGGCCAAATGGCTGCAGAGATTGCAGACATCAGATGTGGCTGACAATGTCCTCCCACATTCTGCAACTTGCGTATCGTACCGCAAGCCCATCCAAAACAAATATCAGTTCTCGCCACTTGGCCAGGCCTCACCATGAATTCAAGGTGTTCGGAAATGAAGTGATTCCAAACCGCCAGGATCTTGCACCAATTCTCCTGAACCAAATCGTGGAAATTTCAAACGGATGTCGGAAGTGGATGAACCTCGATTCACAGGATTCACAGGATCAACTCTACGGAAACGATTCATGTCCGTCTCCTCCATGCGTCTGGCCGGCGCCGACATTCCTTTGGCATGATGCTGAAGAAAGGCTTGGACCTCTCCACAAAGTCGGTTCATAATCCTGACATCTGAAAAGGCTGAGGGATGCTGATCTTGGGACATCACCAAAGCTGAAACAACAACCATCTTCTGAGGTGATTCTTGAATATTCTTGACATATGTTTCCATCTGTCGGAATAGCGTATCTTCACATCACCAGCTTGGTTTCCCATTATTTCCCATTCCCACTGCACCGGTGGGTTTGGAATATGATTCTCCCACTGGAGATGGCCATAACTTTGGGACCCCCAAATTCGCTCCTGGTGGCTGCAGTGCCCTGCAGCTGGCAGTTGCACATGCTACTTTTCTTGGCCATTTTCACACAGGGCGCCACGATCTCCAGGTGCATCTTCAGATCCATCGCCAATTCCTGACCGCTCCACTGCTCTAGCTCCAGACTCAAATTTTCCTAGGGTTATTGGGTTATTCGTTGGTCATGAGTCATACAGACTATACAGTAACCCCAAACAAAGTCACTGACCATTGCTTTGGTAGGATTTTGCTTGTCTGCCTACGGCTACGATGAGTTACGTCTGGGTTTTGGGGGTGGTTATCTCCATGTTTGCTGGCTTGAAAGCCATGTTTGTTGGTCTCATCCCTTTGGCTGTTGGCCAACAGCTGTTGCTGCGTTCTCACGAGGCCACCTGGGACTCGAATCTACACAAGGACTCCACGTCCTGCATTTTGAACTTGAACTCAACTCTCATGACTGGTCTCGATCCTTCAGGTTTGACCAAGCTCTGGGAAGATAGGATTTGTTTAACTTCAGTGCTTGCAGTATCTTGCAGTACTCTATGCCTAGCCAACCCAAGGTGTCAGCCAAGCATCCAGCTCGTCAGGTGCAGAGCAGGAAGGGTAGAAATCGTCGTCTTCGTCGGAGTCAGGTACCATGACTGGTTCAATTGGAAAGCTCCGGTGTCGTAAGCGTTTCGAGCCTGTGCTGAGGGTGGCTTACACTTTGCATTCTTCAGGTCATCAATGACTTCACTTAAGTGGATATGTAACTTTAACATACTTTAACAGTGAGTTCCGGCACCTTCGGAATTTGGACACATCAACACATCAATCACCACCCATCTAACCCCTATTCATGCCTTAAGCATACAGTAACAACATGTAACTTAAATGCCACACCTGCAATGAGGCTCTTCTTGTGCACCCGGCCATCCAAGACGTACACCGCCAAGCTTCGCCGGCCATTGGTCAGAGCCCAGCCAGGTACGAAACTCTGCAGACGTTTGGAAAAGACATCCACGGCAGACCATCCGGTGCCGCCACAAGCTTCGTAGGCACCGTTGCAGCGCCGTTGCAGAAGCGCCATGTGGTTACCCGGTTACCCACAACGTTGGCCCAGTGTGGCTGTTGCCAAAAGGCTGCGAAACAGTCTTGGGAGATTTGAAGATCGCTGGTGACAGCTACGATGAATTCAAGTGTTTACCCTCTGGTGAACTAACATAGCAATGGAAAATCACCATTTTTAATGGGAAAATCCACTATAAATGGCCATTTTCCATTGCTATGTTAGTTCACCAGAGGGTACAACCAATGTTGCTGCCACCTTGTATCGCAACAATCACACTGATTTCCAAAAAATATCCTGATTTCCATTGATTTCCTGTATGTTGTTGTAAAACAGGACAAGCACGGTGACCATGCCATAAGAACAATCATGGGACAATCTATGATGATTGCTGTGGTCGCTTGGCAGCCGGACACAAGGAGGAGACCAATGGTCACAACCACTGAAAGCCCAAGAAATATCCCAGAGTTCTGGCCAGGGCCGCGTCTCTTCAAGTTGATGAAAGCATCATATGTGCCCAAAAAAAGAGACACATGGAGACACCAATACACCTATTGCTGTAGCTACAGCCAACATGCCAGCCGCACATCATTGAGGGTCTCCTCCAGGCTTTGTTGAGCCAATGCAGGAGCTGCTCCACCCAACCTCAAATCCCCAGCTTGGCTCGGCTGGTGGTTCATCATCCCTGGAGTATCCAAGGCTGAGACAGGGTGGCACTCACCACCTCAGGTCTTCAAAATGCTGGAGAAGCTGCATTTTGAACTCATGAAAAATCGGCAAAAAATACCTATCCATTTATATGCATCAACGTTCATGCTCATGCACATTCTGGGACTCTGGCAGTTGCACGCTGAACAGTTGGGGACAAGAAGTTGAGGAGTCCTAGCGAAACACGAGAGTAGATGTTTACCCTTATGTTCATCTCGGCCAGCCAGGGACTGGAAATCATGTCTTTTTTATTTGTTCATTGTTTTTCATTTTGATCATCACTTTGCTGGATTGAAAATGATCACTCCCTTTTTATCCCCGTTAAGTTTTTTCATTGTTTTTTCATTCCTGTTTTTCCTCCCTTTTCTTTGCTTCGAAAATGATCCTTGGTCCTTGGGAATTGCTACCAGGATCTTTTTCTCGAACCCTTTTCGTTTCTTTTCATTTTGTTTCGTTTCTGTATTGTTTTTGTTATGTTTCCTTCCTTTGCCTTGAAAATTGTCCTTGGAAGTTATCAAAAGATATCAAAAGGAGCTTTTTCTGGAACCCTTTTCGTTTTCTTTCGTTGTGTTTTTTTCCGTTTGGCTATGTTTCCTCCTTTGCATTCAAAATTGACCTTGGAAATTGTCAAAAGGCGCTTTTTCTCAAACCCTTTTCGTTTTGTTTTCGTGTTTTTTTTTTCTCTTTTTGTTTCGTTTTTTCCCGTTTTTTTCGTTTCCTTTTTCATGTTCGTTTGTTTTTTTTCCGTGTCCTTTTTTCATTTCATTTTTCATTGTGATTTTTGTGCGTGTTTGTTTTCATTTTCGTTTTTGTTTTCATTTTTTGTGTGGGTTAAGTATATGGTTGCTTTCCTGTTTTTCATTTTGCTGTCGTTTCTTTCTTAGTGTTCATTTAATTTCTCATTTGGTATATATATATTTATATATACATTATCTTTTCCGTTTCTGATTTTGCTTCGATTCATTTTCGATGCTGAATGACAAGTACATGGTGGCAAAATGCAAAAAAGGAACAAGTATGAACATGATAATTAAATGATACTAACTGCACATGAGGGAAACACGATAAACAAATGAGAATGACACTTGCACATGATTGGAGAATGAAAATGAAAATGACAATTTCACATGATCGGAGAATGATGTGAAACAGGAAAAAAGAAACATGAAAAACAAAACGGAAAAAAATGAAAAAAAAAAAAAACTTGGTCCGGACTCAGTCTGTGGCTGTAAGATTCTCATAAGTTTACCCCAAGTTGTGCAACTAAGGAGCTGACTTGGGCTGACCAAAACTGAAAGTTGGCAAACTTGCGAACAGGAATCGACGAACGAATCTCCTGAAGAGCTCAGACTCAAATATGCACCGAGGGACAGGCCTGACATGGCGCAAATCATCCCACAGCTTGTACAACATCCAGCAGCTCTAGGTGGCTCAACATTGAAATCACCCGTCCAGATTGCTATCTCTCTGACCCTTGAACACAAGTCAGAGACCCCAAACAGGAGATTGATCACTCCTACGGATTGATCACCAATCATCAATCGAGAAGTTGTTGAAACCTTTACTGAACTCTATCATGATCGTCAATCACTCTATATCATGAATTGATCATCTTGTTGATCACCAATCATCAATAATGAATCGAGAACTGCTTGTTGGATCGTTTCCTCTGAGACCCCGGACACAAGGCCCTCAGGAGCCAAGAGCTGCGCATGGCGTCGACGTCGAGTCGACAATCGCAGCGAAGCTGGAGACCAAATGGTGCAACGCCCCAACTCTGGTGGCTTCAAGCTTAGAGCCACCGCGCGGTGCCAAGTGGCTGGATTGGCTGCATCTTTTCAACCCGTTTGAGTTCATAAAAACATGCATGGAGAATGGTAGAAATATGTAGAAATGACAAAAACTGCAATGCAGTTGACAGTTTCAGATAGTCCAAAGATTCCCAACATGCTGGGTTGAAAACCTTGAGAACTGCCTGGAGTGCTGCGGCAAGCTGCGCCTGGAACTTGAATGTCTGCTCTCATGAAGGCTTGGACGACTTAACCTTGGCTTTGGGACTCGGGCAAGCTGTAGAATTAGAAAACTTAGCAGTTGAAAAGGTAAGAGCCCTGCCCAGCTACAAAAAATATATATATATACAATATATTATATATAAATCTATATTATTAATATATTCTAATAGAATGACTTTCAATGGCTCGAGGCTTCAAAGTCTCGCACTCTGAGGTCTTGCACGTGCCGTCCAAATGCTGGAAACCACCACAGCGAATACCGGACTGGCACAACGAGATCTGGGGTCAGGTTTCGTAAGGTGAAACTGATGACAGCGATGCGTCGATGCGAAGCAAAAAAAAATATGATGCAAAAAACTCAAAAACTCACGCGGCCCTCATTCCAACGGTTCCAACGGCCTGAAGTGGCCGGGTCATGTTTTGAGTCCCAAAGATCCTGGCGCTGAAGGTGGAAGCACCATTTCTTAAGGGCTAAATTGCTGCTTCAACAGATTCAAAGACATCCCAAGACTGGTCGCTCCCCGGCTCTTTGGGCGACTCAACTCAGTTCGGGTTAAGGTGGCAGAGGGAAACGCACAGAAAACAACAACCAGGCGAAATGCGGAAGATCTAAGGATCTCTATCTATCGATCTATCTATCTATCTATCTATATCTATATATATATGTATGTATATATATATTTATTATTTATGTATATGTATGTATACTATCTATATATATATATATATGTGTGTGTGTGTGCAAAGGAAATATATAACTTGGACACTAGACCCGTTAGACTTTAGGATCCATGGGAAGTCTTTCTCCATGGGAATTCCTTGCCCACGTGAAAATGCTCTGTACTGCTACTGCAAGCTTGGCACCCAAACTGACTGGAGGCCGCATATCATTCCCAAGGGGACGACGTGAAGGCATCCTGCATGCTTCTGGATCCAAGCGATTCAAGATTCTAAGATGCTGAAAGTTGCGCCCATTGCATCCCATTGCCAAACACCCTTTCCATCCTGGTCGCAGCTGAAGTTGCGGACATTGGTGGCTCCTGCAGCCCGACTTCCAGTCCCACAAGACCCATTTGGGTGCCATCACCATGGGTCAACAATTGGCGGGTTGCTGGATGTTGCTGGATGATCCATGATAATCCGCAATCAATCTTGATGGATGGTACCCCACAATCACCGCAACCGTTGCGGAGGAAACATCGCAACCCCATCGCTCCACACGAGGCCCAGAGCCATGATCTGAGGAGTCAATGAAGGAGCCCTAGCAGAATCTGGCTCCCAAGATGAAGAAATGCGTGCAATAAGTTCCTGCAGAATCAATACCTAATATATAAAAACTCAAGCTGCAGCTGCTGGAGACAAACGCGAACGGCGATTTAAAACCTTTTTTCTCATGAGGTTCATGCAGGAGTCCAAATTGTGTTTCATTTCTTTCTCGGAGAAAAGCAAAGTATGCAAATTAAGCCTGTATCCAAAAGACAAACTCTTGGTTTAATTTTCTTTCAGATACAATCTCGTTTAAGCCTTTCAGACAAACCAGACAAACCAGACAAACCAGATTTTCTCAAATTCTGATTCCAGCAACTCAAATGGACTCTCTCAACAGAAAGGATTGATCCAGTCTGAAGGCATGACCCGCCCACCATTGCCATGTGAGGCCACCGTTTTCAGGTTCGGTTCCTGCACCAGATCGAAACGAGAGATGTCTTTCTTCACCAGATTTTCAGCTGGGTTTGTCTGAAAATCTATGGGGAAAAAAAAACAGTTCCAGTGGACGTTTGAAAGGTATGAGCCCATTTTTGGAACGCTTTCCAGGACTCCTCTCTGGCACCCACCTCGTTAGGATCCACGTAGAGACGGCTGCGCTTGGGGATGGAAGCCATCTGGCGGTTCAATGTTTGGCACCACTCGAAGCGTCAACGGACTCCTTAAGCCTTCACGTCCTTTCTTCACAGACATCATTTGGAGGTTCCTAAAATGGAGCTATCCCCCAAATCATCCAAGTCATTACACCATTTTAGGTCTTGAAAACTATGATAAAATATGATAAAATGGGGATCCCCCATTTTAAGAACCACCATTCTGGTGATTTTGATGCCTGTCCTGGAAAAGGTCCCCACATGGTTCAAACCGCGCCAGGCAGACCCGCTTCCTTTCTTCCGCTTGCCGGCGCAGTGCCGCTGATCTGATGGGCTCAAAGGAGGACCTGTGACTCAGGGACTTTCGGCCAACCTTTCCCAAACAGCCAGTCCGATCATAGCAACCAAGGGACAACCAAGGGACACGTAGGACCAATTCTTGCAGCTGGTCACATTTCATACAGACACTGCTTACGCATTGTTGTGGAGATATTTCTTCGCATCTTGGCAGAGTCAAGATGACCTTCTGGGACTCCAATGTTTTTCCAAGCGCAAAAATGGAACTCTATGCCACACGCACACAGCTGGCGCACGTCAAGTCCAATTGTTCCAAATCCCTGGGACCAATGCGTACCTCCCGGCGATGGGTTTTTTGTCACTTTGTTTGGGGAAAAAAAACAAGTAATTTTGTTATTATTATATATTGTTATGATCATTGTTATTACTATTATTATATATTCTTATTGCTACATATTGTTACTATGATGATTAGTATTATTGTTAAATATTGTTACTATGATGATTAGTATTATTGTTAAATATTGTTACTATGATGATTAGTATTATTGGCAGCTTTTGCTTGATCAGTGAACCCAACATTGAGGATCCCCGCTGGTCGGATATTGTCAAAAAGCCGCGGCTGATTTCGTGCCTGGCTCAGACGGGAAATTCAACAGGACTTTCGCTGCTGCAAAACCTGCTCCTACCGCCAAAGGTTTGTCCTCTCAGGTGCTGTAGCTTCAGCTACCGTGTGGTAATCAAACATGGTTTGCTGAAAAAATCCGATTTAGTTTGTGATTTTCCCAGTAAAACCTCCATTTTGTTGGGGTTTTCCACCTAGCCATGTTTGATTACCGAAGGCTACTCGGCTACTCGGTGTCATCATGGAAGCTCCACAACCCTACAACCCTCAGCTGCTTCAGCAGCTTCAGCCTGCCCGCGCTCCAGCATATCCGTAGACCACCGCTTCACCGTCTTACTTCCCAGAGTCATCTGTCACAATGCGCTTGCTCTGACTGCAAGTACTGCAAGTTATATACAGACCACAGGACCACAGCACCACAGCTTTCATCAATTTATGTCGCAAGATTTAAAGAGAAAACCAAATTCAAAATAAGATTATTCCTTCCACATCTGCTTGAATGACTTTAAGAAGGGAACTGAAACACGCTTCAGTGTGTCCAAGGACTAGCGTAACAAGCATCCAGGAATCCCAGAAAACCTCCCAAGATGATACATCCACCTGCTTGGTGGAGAACTTTCCCGCAGCCAGCTCTTTTCCAGAATCTGCCAGGATGCAGCTAGGCACCAAAAAAATGCAGCCTGTCCACAAGCCAAATAATTCCAACGCCAGAAAAAAGAAAACAAACAACAAACAAACAAATGTTGGGACAATATTTGAACCATTCTTGCTAGACATTGTCATTAAAAGCTCAGGTCTATTCTTTGCTAGACATCATTAAAAGCAAGGAGCTTGTTGGGATCCACGACTGCACTGCTTTCGGCCTGCGATGTTGTCATAGCTGACACTGGGTTCATCGCCATAAGGAAGTTCTGTGACCTTGAAGGTGGGTTCACTGATGGTCCTGCGCCGGGCAACTGGGATTTCGAGTTTAGAAAAAATGTGTATACTCACTTATTCACTTAATCTATGCATCTATTTGATTTATTAGACATTATCGAGATATTTTATATATATATAATATATATATATGCAATGCAACTTGAGATCAAAAGCTTCGAGTCTTGAGATCATCACATCCGATTCTCAAGCCAAAAGTAGGCTGATAATGCTTCCGTGTGCTCTTCTCAATGGAGCCATACCTTTCTGTAAATAAATTTGCGTTGGTTAACTTCAACAGGCAGGTCTGCAGAAAAGGCGTACCTTGGCATTGCCCTTGGTGGAGCCTCTCCAATACGAGCACTCTCAGCATTGGACACCTTGGGGCTGCTCAGCTGCCGGCATGGAATACTTCAGACAACACTTCAAAGGATCCATCAAGTTTAACACGTTCTTATCTGTCATAATCGGTCCAGTCGGCTTTAATGTCGTGCCAGTCGTGCTACCTTTCTTGGCTCGCTACCCAGAACGGGATGTCAGGATGGTCGGAATATTTGGGGTACCTGCGGTTGCAACCGCAGCACACAGGAGGAATCGCATGGATTCAGTGAGATGGCTGAATTTGTCTGAAAATCTGGTATCCCAAATCCAATGGTTTTAAAAATAGTTGATCATCATTTTCCCCAGGAAAGTTGCCAGAAACTGTTTTTTTTTTTTGCGATGCCCCATGAAAGTTGGCACACTCCAATGTTGTTGGTGATATATCCCATTAATCACATCTCACCAATGATATCCCATTGATATCCCATTGTATCATATCCCATTTTGGCTGGTTAAAAATATCCCACTTTGATGCTTATTGAGCCCAATGAGTTCATTAAACAATTTCCGCTGCGCACTGCCGAGGGAAGGCTTTTGGAAAGCTGAAGTGCGTCATGTCGTACTCCATCTGAACAAGGCTCGTGCCGATCGAAGAAATCCAAGAAATCCAGGCTTTTTGGGTCATCCCAATAGACTGGTTGATGATGAAAAAAGATTTGAGGGATAGCCGGGATAGGGATCATCATGGGGATGATTATTAGGTTTATGGATTCAGGATATGGATTCCCAGTTCGATGATCCCCAATATCCCTGGGTAGCGTAACCCATGTTAGTAACCAATCAACCAGGCTTCTGGGTCTTGCTTCATGTGTAAAGCCACCAAATCAAACACCTTTCAACGGAGCTGAGCACAATCCCGGCTGGAAATGCCTTGTCTTTCCTTCTCTGATCCTGCGAAAAAAATCTCGCTCGATCAACGGATCGAGCCATCTGGCAGACCTACATGCACCTGCATTGCTATGGCTTACTCTACAGGTCAGCTAATGACCACTGTCCTTCATTTTCGTCAAAGTCTGCGGCTCTTCCCTTGGCTCACGGAAGAGATGGTGATTCACCTAGGACGACCGTGCAGAGCCGTGATGGGTCAAATTCCGCTCTGTGGTTGGTTAAAAAAATCCATGGTTATGACATGCAAAAACAATCAAAGAATCATATGAGCGTGGCACCTCCTGTTCCCCATTGCGGATAGACAATGGCACGTAGTACTCATCGCCTTGAGCTCGCAACTCCTTGTGGCTTCCAATCAGCTGAAAAAAGTATCGCTGACATGCAAAAACATCAACAGTCAGGCTCCTCGTTGTCACGTTTCATGAGCTCTTTCCGAGTCTCTAGAAGCCTCGGATGCATCAACTTGAAGTATCTTGAAACTGTGTTTGTTGTACACCATGAAACGCCATTCTGAAAAAAATGCAAGAAGAGTCCTCTTTCAATCCTGAAACCACGAGGAAATCACTGCTTCATTCAACTTCAACACTGGTTGTAGCAACCACGACTCCATTGGAGCAGCTTCTGAGGGCATGACTGGCTGCGTGTCCGAAAGATGGGTTCCTCCGTGCGTTCGATTCCCACAGTCCTGACCAAAATCGAGGAGAAATCTAGCGCAACAAAATTCGCTTTGATACTGACCAAGGAGACATAGGATCGCAAATAAACCCAGGACAAAGAATACAGAAGATGCGTGAAACGATAGCATCATATATCATCATATCAATATCTGCGCTGAACGAAGATATCTCTGAGGGGAGGCAAAACAACAAGATGGAAATGAATGGTCGAGTGATTCTCACTTTTGCATCTTGAAACATCTTGGCAGATCTTGGAAAAGCCATCAGGACCTCCCTTCACCCGCTGTCTTGTACTCACGTTCTGGGTTCACCGGGTAGCTCATGGGCATCAATCCACCACGCACGCGAGCCAACTGGCAGCCGCGGGAAACACAAGGATTTGATATGCTCTATATACCCTCTGGTAATTTAACATAACTATGGAAAATCAACATTTATAGTGGATTTTCCCATTAAAAATGGTGATTTTCCATAGCTATGCTGAATATCACCATGGGGATTCAAGCTCCTAAAGGTGACCCCAACAATCAGGGTTTGACCTAAGGGCTCACAACCAAGTACTTCAAGAATCTTCAAGATCTCACGCGTATTGGACAATGACATCACGGCCTGGTGGTCGCCCTCTGCCCGTTCACGGATATGGCTGATGGGACCTGAGTGCCATGCCATGCTCAAAACATGGTACTTGGTGTATGGTTTGATGATTTATGGTCATTGAGTCATCCCACATTAGGGATTCCTTATGAGTGTATCAATCCCTAGTGATGAATTGATGACCATCAAATGATATGGGTCAATCTAATCTGCGGAGTCTTCTCCTGCCTCAACATTGCCCAAGATCTGACAGGCCTCACAACGCTGGGCCAAACAGCTAAGCATCCATGCAAGTTCTGGGCTGCGTCTCGTGATTGGGGGGCTGCCGCTCTTTGACCTCACTTGCTCGACATACGGCCGCTGTGCATCTAATATAGAAATTTTACGCCCTGTCAAACATTGAGATGAATGAGACAGAAAAGAAACTGTGATATGAATCGACTGCTGAATTGCTTTCCAAACTGAGTGTCTGCAACTCGAAATGAAGAGACTGAAGCTTGCCAGACATGCCACAGCTTGCCACAGCTTGCCACAGCTTGCCACAGCTTGCCACAGCTTGCCAGGCTGAGACGGCTGAGACGGCTGAGACCATCTGAGACCTCTGCTGGCTCACAACGAGCAGCCCAGTTTTCACCATGCACCAGACCTGCACCCTTCAGCTCTGCTTTTCTGGTCTCTTTCAAGGTGGTCCTGCACAGGCACAGGTTACTGACAGGTTACTAACAGGTTACTGACAGGTTACTGACAGTTACTGACAGTTACTGAGTTTGTGGACATTGAAGGAGTCGCAAGTCCGCAAGTCATTGCAGAAAATTCATGGTTCTGTCCTGGTGTAGTGTTCCGGCACTTTGTCAGCATTGAAATGAGGTGGGTACCTGAAAACTTCAAACCTGCCAAGTTCTGCTCTGACTCTTGGACATGAACACCACCTGTGATTTCATTGCGAAGGGCACGTCGAAACACTAGCTTCATTGGCACTGTCGGGGCCGCAAATCACCCCACGCTTCTGCTTGATCTCAGAGTGAATCGTTTTTGATATCAGTGTGGATGGTACGACTTTTGCATAGGGATGATTTGTTTGTCCTGGGACTCGTCCATACCATATTACCATATCTTACCCTGCTTCTGCAACAACACTTGTTTTGGTGCAGATTGAATCATTGCATCTGTTGACAGCTCTGACAGCTCTTGCAAATCAGTGCTGGACCGGGCCGCATTTGTGGACCTGGCCACTCGCAAGCAAGTTGGCAGGTTCCAGCGCATGAATCAATTAGTTTCCTTGAAAACTCTTGACAAACAGTTTGCTCTACTGTTGTTGGAATCAACTCGCCGGGCAAACGTCACCAGTTGCATCCAAACCCCTCACGAACTTGTCCAAGAAACCATTTTGAAGTGCCTGGCATTGAATTGCTAACTTAGCAGAAAGGGTTTAGGGAACGATGTCTTAAAGACATCGTTCCCTAAACCCATTATGCAGCTGCTTGGTGTCCACAAAAAATATCAAAAAATAATGCAGTAGGAAAAGCGAGAGTTCAAACGTCTGAAGTCCACAAATGATTCAAATGGACTCAGCGTGACTCATGCAAGGTAGTGTGATCAGAGGCCTTTTTTTGAGAAGTGTGAGAAACCCAAACAAACCGTGGTTTTAATAAACCATCCCAATTTTTGATGGTTTATTATACCCATTGATGGTGAAATGAGGGTGGTTTTTTACATGTAAAAAACTGCCACTATCCAGAAGATCGCTTCTGATCGCGGATCGCCTTTTCGGCTCGCCGGCGTTCACCGGTGGTGAGCCGACCATCGGCATCTTGGTCGAAGCATTTACCTATAAAATAGTCCAGTTGCCCAACGACGCCATCACCTGGCCAAAATGTGGTGAATAAAATGCGGTCAAGTCGGCATGACGGAGAAATCTTGTGGAATTCTTCAAGAAAGGTGTTTCGCAGATTTTGAAACACCTGCAACTTGCGAAGCTGCACTGTTTGGCTGCCAACAAAAAAACTCTCCCCACCATCAAAGTCGTAGCTCTTGACTTCGGGAATTCTGCCCTGCTTGCGGGCCTGCGCCGGTGAACCACATCAACAAGACCATTGTTTCAAAATCGTTTTGGAACAATCCTGCAGATGGTGACCTACGGTGACCTACGGAATGCTTGGATACAAGCACTGATCCAAAATAATTTGAGCCTGTTGCAGCTCTGCCCTGGATCTTATAGCAGGAGGTTCATCCAGCCTGTTCATCAAGTGGCAATTTGTATATACAATTTGGATAATGTTAGATCTACAAAATCTACACTTGACAAGAAAGTTTGAGACTGTGAGATTTGCTGAAGCAGTTCTCTAGGAACACACCTGGTGCCACTCTAAGCGTCTAAGGATGATTTGTATTGGACAAATCCTTCAAACAGGCCAGTCGCACCACTTGGGATGGCGGATCTAAGTTCAGGTTCAAATGTCCACGTTCGACGTCAAAGCAAACATTTGAAGACTGTGCTAGTTACGGCATCGCATGGACTTCATTGTAAAGGATAAAACAAGGGGTCTGTAGTCTGTTGTGTTTCCTTGCTTGCCATTTTCAGAGTACTCAGGCATATGCATCTTTTTGGACGAAGTGCGATTTGTCCTGCAATGACAAAGAATTGCAAAATGCCTCATAACAATATTGATTTTCAATGCAATGATGCCTTCAACCCACAAATCCCGTTGACTTCAAACCCCCCATGTACAAAACTGACATTGAAACTTCACACACGATTTCGTAACAAGTTCGTTCAAACAGAATTTGAGAATCGTGGAAAACCTGCCTTGAAGGGTTTGCTGTGATGATGATGACCGAAAAGGTCGTAGTTCGGGACAGTGTAAGGCCCCTGGCATGACAGTGCAGTTCAATTTCATCACTTTTGCGTTTTTCATCAAATCATTTACATTTGTTTGAGAGACATTTCATCAAGAAAATTTTTGCTAAATCAAAATTTATACAGTTCAGCAATGAAAACACAATTTCACATCATTCCAATCATCACAAAGTACAAACATGAACCGAAGCCAGCTGAACTGGCTCTGCCATGGCTATGGTCGCATTGGATTCAGTGTCAGCGCGTGCAAATTGAAAATGGTGGATGTCCTGTTTACTGTTTTCACTTTTAAGTGTTTTCGCTGCATGGAAATGTCACGGTATGTGATAGAATTTTGCCATTGGAACACGTTGCCGAATTTGGTCCATGTCCACAAATATTGATTCCTGCGAGTAAGAACCATAATGCATGCATCAGAACGCACCCAGTTTGCGAAGTGTGATGTAGTTTTCGCTCCGGTTCCATTTTTCCGAATTCAACAAACCAGGAGCGTCAAATGATGTCATGGTGGCAACATAGTTTGATACATGGTGTTCTGAAACAAAATTGACATCCATGCAAAATCCAGAATGAATTGCGCAGCTCTTGCACTTGAACTCAAATCACAAAATTGTGTTTTGTTTCTGCCATGGTTTCCTGCTAACTCATGGAACAAGAGTGAAACCGTGGGCATACAACTGTGCATCACACCACGTTGCAGCTGCTGTCAGGATTGAATAAATTATGTGATTGTTTCCAATGCCGATGAAAAGCTACCAGGTGTTTCAATGCATATTTTTTCCAATTGTTCAAGCAAAATCTGCCACACAAGAGAAACACCGAGAAATTGTAGGAAATGTGCTGTGCACGTCATTACGGACGAAACGTGCAAAGCAAACGACGCAAGGCTGACACGAGTTGGGGCAAGGCCTTTGTGGGGCACCTCTCAAATCATTGTAAACCTCCCGCGCGAAAACAAAGCGGCAAACCAATGACTTGATAGATGTTGGGGCACCAACCTACCGCGAAATATCGCATGGAAAAACAACAATGCTGCCCGCGAACACTTCCATGGCAGCAAAACATGTCGATCGACATGGGGTCTGCATGGGCGTTGCCTTGTCGCATTTTTTTCATCATACAATGTGACAAATGTGCACGTGTGATTCCATTCAAGCCTCCATTCGTCAGAGGAAGTGCCTGATTAACGTTGGAATGCCTTCTTGAAGCTGTTGTGACCCTCAGCACTGTAAACTCACAACCTTTGCGCCACACCACCAGGAGTTCATTGTGATCGGTGGATCAACCATGTTTGGTTTTTTGTGGGTTAAAAAGTCATTTCCTCAACAATGCTTGGTTTCGGGGTTCTCATCCAGTATAAACGACCTTGTCCCTACAGTGCATCACATAATATATATACGTCATAACAGACATATATGTAAACAACGTGCATATCAAACATATATATATAATTGTATACATCGTCGCATACGCTCTCGCATCCTACGCATGGGGGGAGAACAACATACACCATCTCAAACTTAAACAAAACCTACAAATTTAAAATAGTGCAGTCGGAAAACATGAACGATCGACAGCTCAGGCAAAACTCTGTTTTCTTCTCGTTGGCGGACAAGGGTGATCTCCAATGAAATCGTAAATTGATTTCCATATCGCATTGCATCATTGATTGTTTCATCGCATTGAAAACGAAAGATGGGATTGCATATCCCGGCATATCTTTCACAACGGATTCTCACCCATGGGTTAAGGGATGTGTGAAAAATACAGATGAGGGCGGGTACAGAGTACATAGGGTGGGCATGAAAAATTTCACCTATGCATAAGGTGACCCTCCCTACCCAACCCTGCATCTTGAGTTGTAAAATGCCACACGAATTAAATTCATAACCCATTATAAGAGTGAGAGTTCCGGTGGTCATGACTCATGGAGTATACACAGTACATATGCGTGCATGGCATGTAGTGTGTATATATATATACTCAGCGTGTCAAACTGTTTTAAAAAGAAAACATGCATTTGGTTTCAGGTAACAACATTGTCACCGAGGTTGACATCTGAAGATGTTCAAGGCATTTTTTTTTCGGGACGCCTTCTAAAGAAGGTTGCCAGGTCAAGTTTCTAAACAGCTATTAGACAAGTCTAACTGCTACCTTATAAACGACCTTGTCCCTACAGTGCATCACATAATATATATACGTCATAACAGACATATATGTAAACAACGTGCATATCAAACATATATATAATTGTATACATCGTCGCATACGCTCTCGCATCCTACGCATGGGGGGAGAACAACATACACCATCTCAAACTTAAACAAAACCTACAAACTTAAAATAGTGCAGTCGGAAAACATGAACGATCGACAGCTCAGGCAAAACTTTGTTTTCTTCTCGTTGGCGGACAAGGGTGATCTCCAATGAAATCGTAAATTGATTTCCATATCGCATTGCATCATTGATTGTTTCATCGCATTGAAAACGAAAGATGGGATTGCATATCCCGGCATATCTTTCACAACGGATTCTCACCCAAGTCTGCTTCAGCCAAGGTATCAAACAGAGCAGTGCCTAACATGGGGCATTTCGGGCTGACGCAAGTAAACGGCCTTAGAAAGGCCAATTCCAGGACTGAACCTCGGCTTGGAAAGTCAGCAACATTGGAACTCGACGGAACCCTCGCCACCCAAAGAAGGAACGTGTCTTCGGCTGGGTCTTCCAACAAGAGCAAGAGTTTGCGCCAGTCTTCCTGCAATGACGTCCCTTTGACGAGCACGTCCAATGCAGGCCAGTTGTCGACGAACATGATGACCCTTCCGGAAGATACTCTTTTCTTCCAGTGACGCGAGGCCACCACGCAAGCATAGAGTTCAACCAATCCAATAACATGGGACTTCCCACCTTGTCTCCAGACATCCAAGACTGCGCTCGGAACTTCACTGCCGAAAACTTCAGGGTTCCCATCAGGGAAAACACAAACTGCACCTATCGTTGCATGAGGTTCTCCAGTGTCGTACTCAAGGGCACCATCTGTAAAAAGCAGTACAGGTTTCTTCATGTCATCTGCGATGAAAGATTTCGGTTTTCCTCCGCACAATCTCTCTTGAAGAATCTCGAACGCCTTGATCTGAGTGTCACCCAAACGTACGGCCGTAGGTGCCGTGTGTCCAAGCTCTCTCAAGTCAGCCAAGGCCAGCTTGCCAGCTCGCCCCCACACATGGGAGTCTGCATATTGAAGTTTTCCCAAAACAGAAGGTAGCTGGTTAGGCACTACCACGCCAGACTCAAGGATATCTCTCAAAGCACGGTCCAATTCCTCCACCCTGGAAGGTTTGTTGGAGATTGAAATCTTTCTCTGCGACGCTTTGCTCAAGTCAACGACGACTCCAAGAATTTCAGCAGTGTAGTCGAAGGGGGCCAGCTTCTCCTCCGAGTAAACAAAACCAAAAAGAGACATGAGACCCTTGGCGCAGGCCAACGTAGAGGTGGCATGCATTGCATGAGATACCATAGGGAAATCGTCAAAGTAACTCGTCCACAAGAGCCCCAACGCACAACCTGCGGCTTGCAGGAATGCACTCACCCTCAAGAAGTTGTGAACGCTTGCTGAAGCTCCAAATGGGAGGGTAGCACACTCGAAGCATCTCACATCCTGGTGCTCTTCGCTCCACAAGGAAATGACAGCTTTGTCTGAATCTGATGGACTGAGAGGAAGTTGTTTGTACGCCGATTTCAAGTCCATGGCTGTGACCTTCAAATCAACGCCAGCTTCTATCCAGTCTTTATGAACAAACCCAGACAATTGCGTTCCATCTTCCAATTCAAAGTTGAACTCGCCACCGACTGTATACAGTCTCGAAAGAAAAATTGAAACCCATACCAGGTGGTCAAGGGCATACAATGACGCCCTTTCCGTTGACGAGAAAGTCTCGTTCACTCGGTTTTCTTTCAGGTCGTCAATGGGCCTCAGCTTTTCCTTTTGGATGACTGCAAAACGCCTGACAGGAAGCCATCGCCCAGAAAAGCGCTCGTCCATCTCAAGCGCAGTGTAAGGGCCAGACAGCCAACCTTTATCAACAGCTTCACTTTCAGTGAGCTCGTAAAGTTCCTTGCTGTGGGCATCTCCACGGCTCGCCCGTATCTTTCCAAGCAACGCTGGCTTCAAAAACTTGGCGTCCTTCATCAATTGTTCTTCACTCATTGAAGCCGCTTTGATACCAGATTGAAAAACATTTGATTTCGTCGCCTGTCCCACCAAACGAAAACCTTGGGACATCTCCTGAAACAGTGTGGTGTCTGGCCAGTTGATACTTTTTGCAACCCTTTCCATTAGAAGCAAACGCTTGGCACCGAGCACAGCTTTGACCTTAGGGTCGCACTTCTGTTTGTACTTTTTTTCCACTATTGCAAGTTCTGTTGCCCAGGTGGTCCAAAGCTTAGGTCTCTGTATGCGCAGTCGCACAATTTCCACTGGTGACATTGTGAGGTGCTCATGTAAACATTTCAGCAAATGGTCAGGCATATGTGCAGCTGTGTCAAAAGGGTGCCACAAAGTCTTGGCCAAGGCGACAAAGGTTTCGCATGAGTGAAAAATCCCAAAAACACACAAAAGCTTCTCTCCCTTCTTCTCGGTACGCAGCAGGCGGCTGCCTGCTGGAACATGCTTGCAAGGCTCGCACAAACAACGCTTTGCATCTGTCGATGGTAATGCATCTAAAAGAACACTGCAAACTTTCTCATATTCCGGAATCAGCTGTGGAGTGGCCCTGCCACGCGGTTGTTTGTCGACACGTGGAGGTTTGTAGTCAGCGGGCTGCACTCTGACTCCTTTTTCCAAACAAATTTCATCAAAAACACGTACAAGTTGTTCGCACATACCATTGGGGTATTGGGCTTCCATTGCTGTCGCGAAGCCTTGTTCAGGGCTATAACCCCAAGGTTCATGCACATGCGGTTCGACATCTTCGCAAAAACGCTGCATCAAAGAAATACTGCTCTTATTGCTAAGGAAGGAAGTCTTCTTCGGTCTGGCACCCCCAAAGGCGCAAGCATGACAATGTGCAAATGTTCCATGTTCAACTGCATATGCAAAGAACTCCAGCTCCCACAACAAACTGTTGGTTGGGTTTTCAATCACCCAAGCAATTCCCCTCTCATCCAAAAATTTCACAAATTTTCCCATTCTTTCATACAAACGATTTGCTGCATCAACTTTCAACTTGTCCAGTT